CTACCCAAAAGCCTTCGCAATTACTCAAACCCACACTATTTGCAGATGACACACATTTCGACTTTTCTCACCCGAGCCCAGTCACGCTAGCCAATACTGTAAATACCGAATTACAGAAAAATCTACCTGGATGAGGACTAACAAACTTACACTAAACGTTTACAAAACCTACTTCTTCAGTTTGGTAACAGAGCTACAGAGTCCCTCTTAACATAATGATAAACGATCACCTATCACAAAGCTAACAGAGGGAAAATTCTTAGGAAACCACCTTGATAATAGACTCAAATTTCATACACAATACAACAAATTTCTAAAAAATTTCCAAGACCGTAGGGATACTATCGAAGATACGGTACTATGTTCCACAGTCAACCCCCCTGGCCCTATATCACTCTTATTTACCCTATCTCATCTATGAAAATTTGTGCATGGGGCTCAACAACAATTAACCATCTCAGACCACTAATTTCCCAACAAAAGGCTGCAGTCAGAATGATAACAAATTCCCACTACAGGCAAACAACACTCCACCAATATTCAAAACACTAAACCTACTCACCATACAAAACATCCAACTTATTACTGCACCTATTACATACATAGAACACTTAAATCTGATATTAACCCTTCCCTCAAACATCCCTTGCCAACCTCAACAGAACACATGACCATAAACACAAGGCACAGATCACTCTTTGATGTTCCTCGTGTCCATCTCATGCTATGCAAAAACTCAATGCACATAAAAGGCCCTAAAATCTGGAATTCATTACCTGTAAATATAAAAGAAACACTACCTGTTTTTAAATTCAAGTCTCTTCTCAAAGATCACTTACTACCCAAAAAAAAAAAATAAATACTGAATAACTGAACCTTATAAATTGTATATCTTAAAAGTTTCCACAATTATATCACATAAATGTTGAACCTAAGACCCAATCTAACTTTATTTTTTAAATACACTACCTAACAGAATACTCCATTCGACTGAATGTACAGCAATACATGCAACCATATGACCTGTCTTTGTAATACTCATTTGTGCTTTATTGTTATGTTTACAATAATGTTTTATCACTGATTACATCATTGCTTAGTTAATCTTAAGTTAATTTTAAGCCAGCCCGTAATGCTATGCATACAAGTGGCTTTGGCATGCTGCTCTTACCTGTATTTTTTGTACCTCTGTATGTATGCTCAAATTACTAAATAAATAAATAGTATAAATACCTACCCAAAACAATACTGTCTTAAACCCAAATGTAGCATTCACATACTGTAAACTACCATCAACAACTCGCAATGTTATATTCCCATAACATTTTTCAATATTATTGAAACTATTGTAATTAGAGTAAATTACTGTCTAGTATAAATAAAAAGATGTACAAATTAAATTAGGATCAATTTCTTTAGTATTAAGTATTCTGTAAGCCATTAAATTCTGCCCGTAATACCTAGGCATGATAGTGGTTCTTTGCACTGCAACTCATTATTGTAATTTCATAGTCTGTGTGATCTTGCAAAGAAATAAATTTTTTTACTGTATATTATAATAAACAGAAAAGAGGAAATCAGCTCTAATGTATATTATTTAGGTATGCATACTGGTTAGAGCCTGTCGTAAGTCTGAGACGTCGGTAAATGAATGTCGCTAATTGAGGAGAGGCTGTATTGACTTCGTACAGTAAATATATTCAACCACTCCCTATAAGTTAAGAACAAAAAATATTTTAAGGTAAATGTGTATACTGGATATGCAGTTTTTTTTTTTTTTTTTTGACCTAGCTCCATTGCTCACTTAATATCGTGATAGTGTAAACATGTTACCAGGCTTTTGTATGCATTTGGAGAGAGAGTAAAAGCAGTTTCACTTTACAGCAGCCCAGAACCTAACCTGCTGTATAAGCTGGACCTTCCTGTACACCTTGCCACATCCTCTGCATGGGATACCACGTTTGCACTAATTTCCTTCATTCTGGCTGTTTTTTTGAGCCCAGTGAAGATGGAAAATCAGTGCAGTTCTCATCCTGATACTCTTCATATCACTTTTGTCATTGCCTCTATCACTTACTTTTGTGTGTGTGTGTGTGTGTGTGTGTGTGTGTGTGTGTGTGTGGTGTGTGTGTGCGTGCGTGCGCGTGCGTATATATCTGTACGCTTGTGTGCATATGTCTGTGCGCGCTTGTGTGGGTGTATGACCCACTTAATGGAATGGGGACTAGGGTACAATGACTGGCAAAGGGACGGGTACAGTGACTGGCAAGGGGGACTGGGGAACAATGACTGGCAAGGGGACTAGAGTAAAATGTCTGGCAAACGGACTGGTACAAACTGGCAAGGGAACTCGTGGATATGTCTGTGCGTGCGCCCTCGTGTGTGTATGTGCGCGAGCTAGTGTGGGTGAATGACCCACTTAATATTACAATTGTGACCAGGTGTGGACGTATCAGTGGTTCATTACTTTGTAATTTGTTCATGACTGTAACCATGTACTGTACATGTATAGGAGTGAGGCTGATTCATTACCTTTGTAACTTGCCATGATTGTGACCAGATCTACCTGGAGTTCATTACCTTTGTAACTAGTTCAGCTATCATAACTTTGGGGTCCAGTCCCTGGACCCATTATGTACCTTTGTAATCTTTTGAGTACCACCCACAGGATGGGTATGGGGTGCATAATAAAGATATTAAACTACCAAAACTTACTTTTGACACTTGAGTTCATATTTTTACATATCCTTGCAAGTTTTTTTTTCCTTCCATATTGAAATATTAGCCAGGGATAGCCCAGGAAAATGGTAGTACCTAATGATGTACAGCAGACCTTCGATTAGGGTGATAGTTAAGTTCTTGAAAATGCAGTGTTAGACGAATCAGTGTTAAAGGAACTGAACTTGTGAGAAAAATAGGGTTACATTCCTGGGACCCCCCAAAAAACCAAACTTCTTTTTTTTTTTTCTCTCTCTCTCTCCAAATCTTACAATATTAAAAATAATGCAATTGTTAATTATAGTTACAATGTGTATTTTCTGTTGCTTAACCCCTTCACCGTTGAGACCCCTGCTCACAAACTTGCTGTGTGTCGATGAATTTTCAAAAAAAAAAAAAAAAAAAAAAAAAATTATGACATCTTTTCCTGATGGTAATGACGCCAAAAGTAGGAAATTTGATGGAAAACTTGTGGAAGTACAATCTTGCGAAGTTAGCGGTCTCGGCGGCATAATATGCATCAGCAATCTCACCCACTGAACCCTATTTTCAGCCAATTCCATTATTCCAGTCGACCAAACTTGTAGCTGTTTCACTAGAACTCCATTTGTTCTATCGACCGAGTACAAGAAAGAAACCACCCATTAACCAATTACAGCTACACAATAAAATGGTCAGAAATTGGCAATTTGGGCAATTTCACATTCCTGGTGCTAAAATAATTTTCTGTCCATTAGTCATGTTTCCAGGTCCCTCTTGCTTTCCATTTTGGATTTTTATTCACAAAAAAAAAAAATTAGATTTATTGTTATGCAGACTACTACATTATTGTAATAATTGTATAAATAACGTCAACCCATTCGTGACTGCATATTAGATGGGCCAGTTGGACACGTATTGGATGGTGATATCATTTGTGTACTCTTGAACATCGGCAAAAATTGAACATTTCCGCTACTTAGAACTCTATTTCAAAGTACTTTTCATTGTGAAACCAATAAAAATCATCTTTATTTCTGTAATATATCTTTCTATCAAATGAGACCAAGAAAACAAGAATTCAGCCATAAATACCATACAGAAATACACCTTAAATTTAGCATCTTAAACCAAAAACATGGTAAATTTTTTTCTTCTCATTATGCACTGCTTGCTGCAGGATTTTTTCTATACTGTGCACACTGACCATGCAGACCCATTCTCACGTGTAGGTCTACCAGCTTTCTCCTGTTGGATTTGAAGCTGCTAGAATTTTGGCATAATACTACAGTACCAATACTGGTTTGCAAGCCATAGTAGTACTATGGCACTGACAGTGAAAGGGTTAAGGCTAAAAATGCAACAGATATCATTCTTACCTTAAATTGTGGTTGCTGGTGTTTGTTGATTGTAAAGGAGCGAGTGGAGAGGCATGCCAAGGCCCATCTGGGCCTCGGCATGCCTCAGTAGGTCATTCAAGTCGTTCAGAAAATCAGGTCACACTGTCATTTATCCAGCTTGCAATGCTGAAATTTTTTCCCTACCAAGAAGCAGAACTATATAAATTTAAGTGTAAAATGAAAATATGCTGCAATTTGACAATATGTAGTTTAGTGGAGAAAATGTTTTAAATAAGCAGGTTTTAATCGATGGTCTGTAAATAAGATGAGGAATTATACATGCAACATCTGGGTATTTATTTGCAAACATTTTGCTAACCAGTGGCTTTATCAATAAATACCTAATGATGTATGTGAATGTGGAGCAGGAGGGTTTTTCCTCTCCATCTCCCGCCTGTGCACTAGCTTGCTTTCACCCTGCACTCTTGCCCTCATATTGTGCTTTTTGTCTTATCAATAGACTTTTTATTCTTGCATCTTTATATATTTTTTTTTTTTCTTCAGTCGCACACCCAGGTCACTATTCGAGTTCTTCCTGTTAATTAAGGGATACTCAAATTCTCATATTCCATTACCCATTTTTAGGTGGTCTAAAGACCTCATGTATTCTTATTTGACTGTTTCCACAAACATATTTCCCCCCCCCCCCCCAAAAAAAAAAAAAAAAAAAAAAAAATCCTGAAATTACTTGTATTGGGTAAACCCTACCTTTTTTTTTTTTTTGTAATTTATCTTTATGTACCATAGAATTATCCTATTTTTGTCATTGCTCAGCCAAGGTCCCATTATTTCACTGCTGTAATATGTATACAATATTTTGTGCATGCAGGAAATGTTTTAACTTTTTTTTTTACTATATTAGATATTCTGCTATTTAGGACTGATTGCTACCCATGTTTACAGGCTGTGGAGAGTTGATTGGCTCAGATAGTTTGGCAGCTTGTGCTTGTGGCTCAAGTGGTAGTTACGCCTTCAGCTCACCTGATGGACTTGACCCAACGTGAGTGAAAATGGGCATATTTTCTTACCCCTGTTGACTATTTGCCAACAGTCAGCAGGTACTTGGGTGTTAGCTGACTGTTGTGGATCTCCTGGGGTAATAATCAAATGGCCCTAGTTGAAATAAGCCACACTACTCGCCTATTTGTACTCGCCTATTTGTGGTTGCAGGGGTCGAGTCACAGCTCCTGGCCCCGCCTCTTCGCTGATTGCTACTAGGTCCTCTCTCTCCCTGCCCCATGAGCTCCATCATACCTCGCCTTAAAACTATGTATGTTTCCCGCCTCCACTACGTCACTTTCTAGGCTATTCCATGGCCTGACTACTCTATGACTGAAGAAATACTTCCTAACATCCCTTTGATTCATCTGAGTCTTCAACTTCCAATTGTGACCTCTTGTGTCTGTGTCCCTTCTCTGGAACATCCCGTCTTTGTCCACCTTGTCTATTCCGCGCAGTATTTTATATGTCGTTATCATGTCCTCCAGTGTCGTCAGGCCGATTTTCCTCTGATGGGCTTCCTTTGCTTATCTTGAGTTTCTTAAAATCTACCAGAGACTGTGGTGTTATGTAGCATTTGTGGCAGGATGAGGTAGCTAGCTTACTACCTGTGTGCTAATGGCCAAGATGGTTGTTACAAAGCCTCTTTAGTATAAATGGGATTTTGATACATGAGACTTTGTACTAAGGTTTTTCAGTTGTAAAACACTTCTGTAAGGTGCTGTTGAAGATAAGGGCATACTGATGTACAAGAGATCATTGTGTACACTGTAGATCATAAATGATTAATAAATGTTGGAAGGAGTGCCCTGGGAGTATGAAAAAAGACGTGAAATGAATATTGTGCCTACCTTATTAACCCCTAAATGGTCCAAATGTATATACTATGCGTTCTTACGCATAGCGCCCCAAACATATGTTTTAATATTCCTGCCTCCAAATTTGGCACGATTGGCCTGAGATGCCTGGTCAACATAGAATGGGTCTTAACAATCAGTGTGCACAGTATTAAAAAAATCTAGGATCACTTAGTACCTTGTGGGAGTGCCAGTTAAATTGAGCACCAGCTAGAGCAAACAGTGCGGCAAGCACCAAGGATTCACTGATGTAATGTCATATTAACATTATTCTTTTAAGAGGAAATTGATGTTAACCCCAAGTTTAGGGTCTATTGATCTCTCCCCCACCCTCGTGTATGCTCATCAAACATCAGCTCTTATCAGATGTTATCTTATGTCACTGTCAGGGGTGGACTTTGTTTTTCATGCTTCAAGGGAACTTATTTACATTATTACCTATTATTATTATGTATTCTTCTCCCCCTCATTATTATCATATACTTCCACATATCCAAAACATTGCTGGGACCTATAAATACTTTGTATATATTCCAAGACAATAGTAAATGACCAAGGCAGGTGTAAATGTCCACCTGTCAATGTGTTCGTGACAATTTCAGTACCTAATACTAGTGTCAGAACAAAGATTAGTTAGGAAATGACAAGAACTACTATAAATTGTAATTATCAGAACATAAAAATTATATAAAATATGAAAAAATAGAAAATAAAGTATATCGGCAACACTTCTGTAAGTGGCAGGGCTCCATGTTGCTGTCACATGAGCATCCAGTGCCAACTTCTCTGCCTCATATCTCTAAGTACTGACCCTATTTTTTTTATTCTAAAACTTAAAAAAAAAAAAAAAAAAAAAAAAAAAAAAAGTGCTCTTTTCTATAACTTATTTTTTTTTTTCCCCAAAATATTCGGGGCGCTGCGCGAGTGAGCATATATATACGTTTGTACCGTTTAAGGGTTAAAAATTAATAAGCAGTATAGTATAGAGTACAGAATTTTTCAGAGGGGGGAAATCTAGTGAATTACTGGGTATCCTTGATGGGGTACCTCTAAGAGGTGGCATGAATTTCTTTCCCCAAGTTTTAATTTTAAGAAAACTTTGTCTGATATAGTTAAAACTTTCAATGCTGATGTACTGCAACTAGGAAGAAGTCTGTGAAACTGTTGGTGAATGCAGGTCCCCTCTGGTAAATTTTACATTCCCAGCTTTTCTTTGTATATGGTAACTTGAGAGAGCTTCTACTGATTTCAACAATTTGAGTCCTATTTTAAGTCAAGTTTCATTTCTTAATTCAACCAAATTATTAGCAATTTCACTGGTATGCCTTCTGTCAAATGGGCACAAGAAACTGGCCATTTAGCTATCAAAACTATGCTCTAAAGTGCAGTGTGGTAATTTGACCAATTTTATAAAATTCAAAAAAAAAAAAAAAAAAAAAAAAAAAAAAATTAAAAAGAAAAAATGAGTAGACATTTCAGGCATGAAAATGTTTATTTATTAATCATGTCCCCAGGCCTCTCCTATATTACACTTGCCTGCCATTTTGAATTAATTACAAAAACTGATGATAAAACTTTAAATAATTTATGATTTATGGCATCCCAGTAATTGAATAAGACATTAAAAACCCATGAAACAGACATGGGGTGTAGGGGGGGGGGGCCTTACCTGTCCTCAGAAAAATAGAAATAATCAAATATTTCTGCTAATTTGAACCTTGTTTCAAGCTGCTTCCAACCCTGAAACTAACCAAAATTATTTTTTTTTCAGTAGTTTACTATCTTCTATCAAATGATACCAAGAAACAGCCAATAAAGCAAAAATCCTCAACAATACTTCCCCCCAAAATTCTCTAGAATATTGTAAAGAATTTGAAAAAAGGATAAAACTGAAAAGAAAATTGATACTGAAATTTTGCATTAAGCTTCATGAGGTTAACAAACCTTTAGGTATCTTGTATACTTTTATTCCAGAGCCTGTCAAATACTCATGAACATTATTCTTTTCTCCCTCCCAAGGTTTTCATTTATTACTTAACTGTAGGAAAAGATTTACTATTTATATGTGCAAAAGACCTTAGATTAGTAGTGTCCCATTCCCAATTCTGATTTCCATATACGTACGTAATACTTTAATTGCTCCTTAAATGAATGGCTTCAGTATTATAATGGCTGATGCATCTTGTGGGGAAAGGATGAAGCATTTTGGGTTTATGCTATGTAAGGGCAAATGTTTTAGTAAAAGTTAAATTTATAATTGTTGGATTTTGTGCAACAATTGGAGAATGCTTTTCAAACTTTGTACTATGTTTTCTGCCTCAAAGGAGTCTTTGCATTGCATTTAGGTTGTGTATGTTTGAATTTGCAAGCATTTTTTTTTTTAATAAAGTGGGTTCTGTTTGCTTTAAGTATTCATTTTTGTTCATGATGGTTTTAAATTTTGAGTTTTCATTGTATTGCCAAGAGTTAAGCAGTGATCAGATTCAAAGAGCTTTACTAATCTCTCGCTTCCTTGACAGTTTGTACTTTTATTAATTTTAAAGCCTCCTCTAGAGGTTCCTTGTGCTAGTGATGGGTTCTTGATCTAAGGAACTGGATTATTGCTCCAATTCATTGAATCAAACCTGAATGCCTTCCATTTCCCCAGGCACTTTGACCCCAATGGGTTTAGTGCTCTCCCATGAATAACTAATTTTAAGGAGTAAGAAAGGTGTGCTTTTAATCTACCTTTTTCTTATATGGAACATAATTACCTCAAATTTCCTGAGTGCTGTATGACCCATATGGGTTTAGCACCCTTGATATTGTATGTTATGTGCCATCACTGAGCAATGATACTCATCACAAATCCTCGTGTACTGTTTAAACATAGGTTCGTGTGACTTCTGCAATTATACTAGTACAATGGAATGTCTACCAAGAGTTTAATCCGTTCCATGACCTTGCTTGCATCTAGATTTGCTCATTTTAAGTCCATTTCTCTCGTTTAATCCTTTGACTGTCGAGGTCGTATGTATACGTCTTACCGTGTTTGACGTATATACTAAGCAACACAGACCCCAACGTATGCCTAGAACAGATTAACTTGGTGGCACTCGATGTATGCACAAGGCTTATTCCTCTAAGAAAAAGGAGTAGTAGATGTAAAATTAGCACGATTGAAGAATTGCGGCACATTTAGCACTTCGTAAAATTAATTTAACACGGTTCAATTTGTGGGAGGGGAAAAAATTTTGAGCCTGTTACCCTCGGGATTGGTTGTGGGCTACACCATTGAGTCAATGGGGGAGGTCTACTGCCACCCTGAGCCACCCACACCCACCCTCCCAGCCGTCAGTTTGGTTCATAAGCGTGTAGGACAATCATCTGGGAGCTCGCCGTGTTTTAAGATACTTATTTTAATTGCCATATCTTAAATCTGCCAAGCAATCATGGCACCTAGTAGGCATAAGAGTGTTGCTGAAAGCAAGAAAAGGTTGAAGCGTGTAAGTCTAGGAATTGCGAAGAAAATCAAGATACATGTGGACCCTCACATACCGTTGGCATCACATAACGTTAAATCCGCATACCGATACATTTTATCGCTAAAATTTTGCCTCGCATAGCGCTAAAAAACTCGCTCAACACTATTCGTCTGAGACGCGTCCACGTGCCGCCTGAGCCAGCCTCACTTGTTCAGTGGGTGGCAGTGTTTACAAGCCAGCCTCGGCGGTCACATCCAAGCATACAATCAGAACATTTCATATTATCACAGCGTTTTTAGTGATTTCACCTGCAAAATAAGTGACCATGGGCCCCAAGAAAGCTTCTAGTGCCAACCCTGTGGTAAAAAGGGTGAGAAATACTATCGTACCACAGTCAGCTGCTGCTGCACTACGGTCAGCTGTTGCTGGACCAGTCAGCTGTTGCTGCACTATGATCAGCTGTTGCTGCACCACGGTCAGCTGTTGCTGGTTCAGTCAGCTGCTGCTACACCACGGTCAGCTGCTGTTGCACCACCATCAGCTGTTTATGAACATGACTCGCCCCAAACCTGTCCGTCCAGCCTGAGCGCCTCAGCTGCCTTGCCGTCATTGTTTACAAGCCAGGGTGGCCGGTTGCATGCATACATTTGATACATTTTGTATTATTCCATTGTTTATAGTGCTTGTAACTGCTAAATAAGCCACCATGGGCCCAAAGAAAGCTTCTAGTGCCAACCCTGTGGTAAAATGGGTGATAAATACTATCGTACCACAGTCAGCTGCTGCTGCACCACGGTCAGCTGTTGCCAGACTAGTCAGCTGTTGCTGCACCACCATCAGCTGTATTACTCGAAGATGTGGAGTGTGTGTTGTTGGTATGGCTTAACATGAAACATTACCGAGAAACGATTAACCCTGGAGGGTTAGCCACCCAGGATAACCCAAGAAAGTCGGTGCATCATCAAGGACTGTCTAACTTATTTCCATTGGGGTCCTTAATCTTATCCCCCAGGATGCGACCCACAACAGTTAACTAACACCCAGGTGAACAGGAAAAAATGCCTGGAACTAGTGCTCATGTTGGTGAGGTTAGTGGGGAGGATGTGGAAGAGTTGAAGGAGGACAATGAAGAACTAACCGCTGATGAGCTGCTAGATCATCTTCAACAGCAAGAGGCCACACCTGAGGAAACTGCTCCGGAGGAGGGGAGGGAGAAATTGAAGAAGTTGCCTACTTCAAAGATTAAGGAAATGTGTGCAATGTGCAAACCTTTTTTGATGAAAATCACCCTGACACAGCTATTGCAAGCCGTGCTGGTGACTATTACACTGACAATGTTGTGAAACACTTTAGGAAAGTCATAAAGGAACGAGAGGTACAGGCCTCTATGGACAGATATGTTGTGCGACAGAAGTCCAGTGACTCAAGCTGGTCCTAGTGGCATTAAAAGAAGAAGGGAAGTAACCCTAGAAAAGGACTTGACACCTCAAGTCCTAATGGAAGGGGATTCCCCTTCTAGACACTAAGACCATCCACACACTCCCCTCCTCCCATCCCATCAATCATCACCAGATCTTCAATAAAGGTAAGTGTCATGTAACTGTGCATGTCTTCAGTTTGTGTGTATTAAAATTAATATTTCATGTGGTAAAATTTTTTTTTTTTTTCATACTTTTGGGTGTCTTGCACGGATTAATTTGATTTCCATTATTTCTTATGGGGAAAATTAATTCGCATAACGATAATTTCGCATAACATTGAGCTCTCAGGAACGGATTAATAGCGTTATGCGAGGGTCCACTGTATTAGATAAACTTAAGAGTGGCTCGTGTGGTGGATATAGTGAGGGCCAATGGCCTTAATGAAGCATCAGTTCGTACAATTAAAGAACAAGGTGAATGTACAAGCTTGTGTAATGAATAACCCAAGATGTCATCTCATGAAAAGAATGACACGTACATCACAACAAGTAAAACAGAAAATTGTTGCTTGAGTGGATCGAACAAAAGACAAAGGTGCACCACTTAATTTCAACCTAATCAGGGAAAAGGCATTAGTTTAAAGCAGTGTGTGATAAGGAAGGCCTGAAAATGAGTGTTTAGCACAGGATGGTTCCAAAACTAAGTTGCATAAGAAGTTACATCATAAGTTTTCTGGTGAAAGTGCTTCAGCTGAACATACACCAGCAAGTAATTTGCTTGCCAGTCAGGTTCAGGACTTTTCACTGAAGAGGACCCTGACAAATCTAGAAGCAGTGCTTTGAAACGGAGTCTAGACCAGCTGATGATGCCTTACTGTCAGTTGTATAATGTACAGCAGGGTAAAAGATCCCAGAGATCTATTACAGAATTTATGCACACTCCAATACAACTATCGACTTCAGCACCAGAGCCTCGACCACCCACTCGCCCCAGTAGGGTCACACCATGCATATCCACTCTTCACAATCATCCACAAACACCATTACCCACAATTTAAGGTCAGAAATACTATTATTTCTATTGTATTTGTAGTCTTAAGAAGTAATATATCACAACAATGAACTAAATTACACAGTTTCATTTTTGCAAGATATGTTGGTCTAAAAATAAAGTTGTTTGGCTTTTCCGGGGCTCCCGGGAACGTAACCCTATTTTTCCCATAAGTTCTTCAGTTCATCTAACGACTTTACCTAGCACGGCGTTTCCAGGAATGTAACTACCATGTTAAATGACGGCCTACTGTATACGGTAGAATGAATAAAATACATGTCATTACGTATGTGGCTAGTGGTGGTGACAGCGGCCATTGTTGTTGGAGTTTATAGGGCCACTAGTGGCCATTCCTGCTCCTGACTAGAAGCAGGAATGGCCAGTGGTGGCCCTATAGCGACAAAAATGGTTGTCACACACTCTTGCTACTTCAGTGGCACAAGAGCTCTTGACATACCTCCCCCCCCCCCTCAAGGGAGGTTCCTTGATGCTGGTGAAGGGCTCTTGATCTAAGGAATTGGATCTGTGCTCCAGTTCCCTGAATTAAGCCTGAATACCTTCCATCCTCCCCCCACAGGTTTAGCGCTTTCCTATGATTATAATCTTGACATGCCTTTTGTGGTACATAACTTCTGGTGATACCTCAGTAAAATGAAACCATGATCTCAGTATGTGCCATTCTGCTATAATTTTAGTGACAATTTCCCTCTGACCTTTTGTCAACAGCTTTATTACACCAACTTTTGATATATCAACCCCCCCCCCCCTTTAGCACTCTCCTCTACCTTTACTGACTCTGCCTTTTTGCCTATCCCCTCACTGTTGCTAGTCTCTGATCTTTAGAAAATCCTACCCTGCAGCACTGTATGACCCTTGTTGGTTTAGTGCTTAGTTTTGATGTGTGTACCCTTGTTGCTTCTGATAATTAGGGCAAGACCTCGTGATGCACTGTATCTGATGCTACTTCATAACATGACTAAAACAGCAAGAGCTCTTTACATTTATAAAGTTGACTAGTAGGATCCCAAAACATTAAATTATTCTCGTGACACAAAGTTAACTCGAAAGCTTTGTATCTGATCACTGTACATGTACCTATATTCCAGTGTTGCTTTCATGGGACATTAGATAACTTGCCAGTGTTACTTTTGTGACAGAGTAGTAAGAGAGCCAAGGACATTCATTAAAACTTTAGTTTCACGACTCGAAATAATAAGACATCAGTTCAGCGCTGTACAACCCTAGGGGTTTTTTTTTTTTTTTTTTGGTTTTGACGAGCTGATTTTAGTGACTGACAAAAGTAATGCGACATTATTTTCATGGAATGAGCAGATACAATTGGTATCTGAGCCCTGCATTTTTGACACGAGATCATACACTATTCAAATGCTACTTTTGTGCTACCAAAGCATTCAAATTTTACTTGTGACGAGTAGCACAGAATTTTTAAGTCCAAGTTTCGTACTTCTGTCATGACATGACAGTAGTACGAAATCACCTGCTCTCCAGTATCTTCAGGGTTTCTTCTTTTCTGCTGTACACAAGTATTTACCACTGTTCTTTTATTACCTAGGGTGGGTGCTACTTTTGTGGTAGGCTAAATGTTGCTCATCATGTCATGTAGTAACACTTTCATCTTTGCTGGGTGTGACTTCTGCTAAGCCACAAGGACTCCCATGCAAGACCAAATTATACTTTTGTGACATGAAAGCAACCTGTGTATCTTCTGCTGCTGTGGGAAGGGAAGGAGGACTGCTACTTTTGTATCAGGACAAGTTTTTTGTGTTGCAAAAGTAATGCAAATTCATCTGTGATGGGGGTTTGTCAATTTTAAGACCCAGTGCTACTTTCATGTCGTTTAAGTAGCATGCATCCATGTTTATTTCGCCTATGATTTTTGTTACTGTCATATCACGAAAGTGCACATCTGTGCTCTCTGCTGCCTTTTCTCCTGTAGTGGGTTTTCTAGCTACTTTCGTGGTTGCCCCCCCACCACCACCAGTGCTACTTTCATGACAGACCAAGTGCTACTTTTGCTACACAAAAATAGCAAACGTCAATGCCCCTCTTGTAACTTTTGTTGGCAAATGCTACTTTTGTGACACCAGCCATGTTCGTGTTACTTTCGTGTCACAAAAGTAGCATTTGCCAACAAAAATTACATGAGAGGCATTGACGTGCTATTTTCGTGTCGTAAAAGTAGCAAGCAAAAAATATACATGTGGATGTGCATTTCATGTCATGAAAGTAGCAGTTGGGCTGTCATTTGAGACATGGACGAGTGCTACTTTTGACGTGAAAGTAGCACCCATTCCAGGTCTTGTCACTTTTTTGTTACCAAATGTTACTTTCGTGACACAAAAGTAGCATGCACCCATACCCCACGCAATTTCTGCTTGTCACAAAAAATTGACATGGATGTGTGCTACTTCCGTGACACGAAAGTAGCACCCCTCCAGGTCTCAATTTTTGCTACTTTCGTGTCACGAAAGTAGCACTCATTCATGTCGTTTTTGACATGCCAGATGCTACTTCCGTGACACGAAAGTAGCACCCCTCCAGGTCTCAATTTTTGCTACTTTCGTGTCACGAAAGTAGCATCTGGCATGTCACAAAAAATGACATGGATGAGTGCTACTTTCGTGACACGTAAAAAGTATGACACCCTTCTCCAGGTCTCAATTTTTTGCTACTTTCGTGTCACGAAAGTAGCACTCATTCATGTCATTTTTTGACATGCCAGATTCTACTTTCGTGTCACGAAGTAGCAAAAATTGAGACCTGGAGGGGTGCTACTTTCGTGACACGAAAGTAGCATCTGGCATGTCAAAAAATGACATGAATGAGTGCTACTTTCGTGACACGAAAGTAGCAAAAATTGAGACCTGGAGGGGTGCTACTTTCGTGTCACGAAAGCAGCACCCCTCCAGGTCTGTTTTTTTTCCAGAGTGCCTCTTTCGTGTCACGAAAGAAACACTCATCCATGTCATTTTTTTTTTGACATGCCAGATGCTACTTTCGTGTCACGAAAGTAGCATCCATCCAGGTCTCAATTTTTACCAAATGCTACTTTCGTGACACGAAAGTAGCACCCCTCCAGGTCTGTTTTTTTCCAGATGCCTCTTTCGTGTCACGAAAGTAGCACTCATCCATGTCATTTTTTTGTGACATGCCAGATGCTACTTTCGTGTCACGAAAGTAGCATCCATCCAGGTCTCAATTTTTTTACCAAATGCTACTTTCGTGACACGAAAGTAGCACGCATACACGCCACATGGAAAAATCATTGCTACTTTCGTGATATGCCTGATGCTACTTTTGTGACACGAAAGTAGCACTCATCCATGTCAATTTTTTATTGAATGCTACTTTCGTGACATGTCGGATGCTACTTTCACGTCACGAAAGTAACACGCATCCATGCTTTCCCCCCCTTTGTTTTCGATACTTTCCTGAGACAAGACTCATATCATGCTGTTTACCTGGAGTATGTTCCAGGGGTCAACACCCCCTCATGGCCTGGTCTGTGACCAGGCCTCCTGGTGGATCAGAGCCTGATCAACCAGGCTGTTACTGCTGGCAATCCAATGTACGAGCCACAGCCTGGCTGGTCAGGGACTTTTTGCATCATTTTTTTTCTACAAAGACAAACCATATGTTACTGTCACAAAAATTATTCTACTTCACTGGATAACATTTCAGTTACTCTAAAGATATTCTTTACAAAACCACCCCATTACTGCCTTTTGAGTAAAATGCCTATCTTACTCATTCCATGCCCCGCTTATTGAATGGTGAAAAGTAAGATGCTTTCAGTGCTGCCAATTCCCTTTCTTTACCATAAGACACTGTTTTCCATGGACACGATGTGTGAAAGAGCAAGATAACTTACGAATTCAGGGGAACTGTTTAGCTAGATTTTAGTCGTGGATGTGGAAAGGGAAGTGCCTGCACACTGGACAAGTGCTAAACATAATAGGGTCATACAGCATTGCAGGGCAGGGGGTTTTGCTGGATCAAAGAGTATCAAGAATGGAGAGGAGAGCAGAGGTAGAGATATAAATGGGCTGTGAGGAGTGTTAAAGGAAGCATCATCCAAGTTTGTATAGTAAATCAGTTGCTGTCAAAGTCAACGAGAGTGAGTCAGACATGCCCGTCAGCAAACAGGGAAGATAAAGTAAGGGCGTTAGAGTGGTGACAATGGGGTAAATTGTGTGCTCATTGATGGACTGGATAGTCCAATAGAATGTGGCGCCTCTCCACGAGATACCCACGAGCAAGACGAGTGTGCCTGATGCAAAGATGGGAGAGCGTGATCTCCCAACCTCAACACTAAATGACAAGATGGCCAGAAATCTTAACTTGGTTTGATAGAATGTAATTTGTGTGTCATATGAGACCAACACTGTTGCCAATGGTTGCAAAGGTGGTTAGAGATTACAGCAAAATAGTCTGTGAATGGAGCACCTCCATATGAAACTGGGAGGTCATGTACTGACCATGCAGCAGTGTCTGTCTGTTCACTGTCTTCAATGTCATGCCTGGGACCCAACAGAAAAAAAATTGTTTTTGTTAGAAATGCAGAATAACCAAAGTTGTATATGAAGAACCAGGGGATGAGGTTTATCAAATTTTTTAACCCTTTCACTGTTGACACCCCTGCTCACAAACCTGATCTCAGTGTTGAAGTATATATAAAAAAAAAAAAAAATTAAATGATAGAGAATCTTTTCCCAGTGATAATGAAATCAAAACTACGAAATTTGATGGAAAACTTACAGAATTAAGCTCTTGCGAATTTAGCTGTCTCGGTGATTTTGCCCATTTTGAGCCCTATTTTTGGCCAATTCCATTGTTATATTGATCGAGTACAAGAAACCGCCCAATTACCGATTTCAATTACTCAATCAAGTGACCAGAAATTGGCAATTTGGCCAATTTCATACACAAAGGCCAATTTCAAAATAGGGTCCAGAATTAACAATGCAAACATTCCTAGCACTAAAATAACATTTTCTCTGTTCATTAGTCACGTCTCCAGGCCCCTCTTATATTACGCTTGTTTCCATTTTGAATTTCTGTTCACAAAAAATAAAAGATTTACTGTTATGCAGACTACTGAATTATTGTAAAAATGGTAGAAATATCAGTGCATTTGTGAAAGCATATTAGACCCACCAGTTGACATGTATTGCTGATTGTGCACTGGAAGCAGTGCACAATCAGCAATATTGAGTGACTGCACCATCAGCAGTGTAGAGTGACACTGACACTATGCTTCAAGGAGTTTCATATACTCCAGTATTTCTAAAAATCTCTATTTCTAGACAATAGTATGTGACCAAGGCAGCTGAAAACGTTCACCTGTCAGTGTGTGTATGATTGGTATTCCCTTACCTAATATTAGCTATAAAATCATAAGAACTACTATAAATTGTAATTAACAGAACATATCTGTAACAAGAGCATCTAGTGCCAACTTCACTGTTTTAAATCTTGATAAGTGCTGGCCCTAAAAATTTTTTTGGAGGTGTTATTACACACAGAAAATTGCCCTGTTTTCAAAAAAATTCAAATTATTCAGAACACTAGAAGCAAAATGTAGATCAACATTTGGATGGTTCAAGGGTTAAAGTACACCAGGTGCCTTCCATCTGGCATAATTTAAATGATGAGCACCAAGACATAAATTTAGACTACCTGAAATGTTTGCATAGCTATAGGCATTTCTTTGTAAGAATTATACATTGTTAGCCTATTATTGTAACTAATTTTTCTTCTTGGGAAATAAATTTATCAAGAGCAAGGCTGTCTCAGAAGCTTTTCTTGAAGTTTAATCAAGTACATTTGTTTCAAAACTGAGCATAGTGGCAACTGATTCCACGATTAAATTATTACACAGTTCCATAAGTAGTGCTGCACATTGTATCTCTAGACCAGCAGAATTAGGCATTTTAGATTGTTGAGGTTCTGGAATATCTTGTAGCTGACACAGCTGGATGGTAGAGATCTTAAGATGACCCTTGATGATGTCATGGCTAGAGCATCACAGTCTGTTCTGGAGCATCTATAGTTCTTCCCTGTGGCTGCTGTACTGCATGGTAGTTCCAGGGCTGAACACTACCAGAGCAGAACATGAGGTAGAAAAGTTCAGTGATCCCATAGAGGGGCACACACATCCAGAACACCTTCTGCCACTGACTCATTGTTTGCTGAAGCATAATCAAAATTCATATACACGTAAACAGCATGGAAAAGGAAATTTTTGGCATGAACTTAGAAACTGTAATAACATGAGTTGAACTTGGCAGCTTGAGGCCATTTATTTGCAATTAATGGTACTGTATAATGCAAACATACACAACTGCTCGCCACACTCACCTGATTATTCGTAATGGCACCAACAGCCATGGGTGCAATAAAGGCTGTGATCGAAGAAAATGTATTACTTATCCCAAAGACAGTCCCTGTTGAGTGGACATTCGTACAGTATACATAAAATAAATAAATATATACATATACAGGTGCTCCTTGAATTACAATGGTTTGACTTAGGATATTTTAACTCTACAATGGTGCAAAAGTAATTTCTTTGGAGATGAAACTTAACAGTTACTCAGCACGAAGGTAGCAAGTCCGTAACATGTATACATTTTTTTCAATTTTCAATGCTGGTATTAGTTACAGTAATTATTTGTTTATTTACTTATTCAGTGACAGTACAGGTACCATCCGACTTACGACCAAGCTTGGTTCCGATTAACCGGTCATAAGTCAAAATGGATGCAAGTCGAACCTTTGAAATGGCCGACATACTGGGTAGAGCATAATGTCAAACCTTTCCTATATAAACTACCTACATAGTACTGTAATGTACAATCATTATTTCATTCTTTTTACCCTAATTTACTTCTACTGTTATATTTTAATTATTTATGTATTGGATATAATGTATACATGGTAGTGAACTGTATTGCAAATTTTACAACACATACAGTATCATATATTACTGCTATCTTTATGTATTGTCGACACAGTGGAATGGGAGAATACCACTGGTAGTGTCATCTTGCCAGAATGTAGTATAACCTATACCCTAAGTAAAGAGAAACAACTCTGCAATATGTGTAATACGTATCCGGCTGGTTGGCTGAATGTGGCTGTCTCTCTCTCTCTGTATCTCTGTATCCAGACAAAGTGCTATACAGTGGATCTGTGCTCCAGTGCCCTAAAATAATAATAATAATATTATTATTATTACAATAATACATATGTACTAATAATAATAATATTATTAAACTATAATAATCGTGTCCACTCATTACTTTCCTTAAAATATCTGTAGTCTTAATGTAGAGTGAGAGGTGAGTAAACAAGATTAAATGAATAAACGAGAATGAGAGTGTAGAAGGTTCGTGAGTTATGTAAACAAACGTAGTTGTTGTTGTTGTTACCAGCCCGGACACGAATGGTTTTTGTTCACTCTGTCAAGCCGACCAGAAAACATCTCATATTTGTTAATTTATGTGTTTATATGCTATGTAGCATGTTTATTATATAATTTTGAAAAAAAAATCATATATGGATTAAGCAAAATGTTTATATTAACGTTTTATACACATTTAATGCGCCTCAATGATTATTATTGTGTTATTATCATTATTAATATGGCATCTTCAAGACCAATTACACTCTTAATGAGTGGCTCTGAGACAGACAAGCAGACACAGGTAGACAGACAGATAAAAAGACACACACACAGATATACAGGCAGACAGATACAGACAGGTTTATGTGCAACAGTAAAAACAAATAGAGTTTGAGAGAGCCTTTCTTGCCACAATCTCCAGTGCAAGGTTCAGACTTCATCTTAGGGGCCATGGTGAAACTTACTGTCCAGTTAGTACAGTTAATACAGTACGATACTGCTGATAGGGAAGGGTTACTCAAACTGATGCTGCCTGCATGACGCATTGCTGCCGCGAGTATCGTCAAATATTGTACAGTGGTGTGCATCAGCCAGCCCAGCTGCCAGATGCACGGTTTTAAGTCGAGTGGATGTAAGTCGAGCAGGTCGTAAATCGGATGGTAGGTGTAGTTATTTATTGGTTTACTTATTTAGCACATCATATTCATATTTGACTTAAGATATTTTCGACTTACGGTGGGGTCATTGGAATATAACCCCATCGTAAGTCGAGGAGCTTGTGTGTGTCAATGCACCAAACAGAAGTATACACAGAGAAAGATCACAGCAGGATTCAAACCCATGTTTGGAAGGTGGTATAGTTTCCCTACATGACCCCTTAGACCACTCGTCCAAAGATGCCTCAAAGCTGGTTACAGACTATGTTTCTTCTTAGCACTGGGTACACCAGTGGGCCTCAGGCATGGTTTCACCTCCTGTATGTTCTGACCACAACAAGCAATGCTATGTCAATGCACCACACAGAAACAAACATAGGTACATACCTGTGCAAGGAAGAAACATGGCTTGTAACCAAGCTACCTGTGGCTAAGGCGTCACATAGGAACTATGCCACCTTCCAAATGTGGGTTTGAATCCTGGTGACCACAATCTTTCTGTATCTATGTTTGTATTTATGTCATGCCAAACAAACGAGTTTAACCTATTCAGCAAGGGTGTCCCCCCCCTCTCTCTCTCTCATATATATACATATATATTCTTTTTTTTTTATTATCACACTGGCCGATTCCCACCAAGGCAGGGTGGCCCAAAAAAGAAAAACTTTCACCATCATTCACTCCATCACTGTCTTGCCAGAAGGGTGCTTTACACTACAGTTTTTAAACTGCAACATTAACACCCCTCCTTCATATTTTTTTTTTTTTTCAACAAGTCGGCCGTCTCCCACCGAGGCAGGGTGACCCAAAAAAAGAAAGAAAATCCCCAAAAAGAAAATACTTTCATCATTCAACACTTTCACCACACTCGCACATTATCACTGTTTTTGCAGAGGTGCTCAGAATACAACAGTTTAGAAGCATACACATATAAAGATACACAACATATCCCTCCAAGTTATTTGTGGGTTTTCTGTAAATTTTAAATTTGAATTCATTATTACCCTTAATAATTAAAACATCTAGAAAAGGCAATGAGTTATTTTCTTCAAAATCAACAGTAAAGTTTATAGAATGGGCTAAGCTATTTCATTTGCCAAGGAAATGGTGTATATCTACATTCTTGGGCATAAGACACAAAATATCAACATATCTGAACCATTTAGCTCTATTAGGGAGGATTGTGTTAAGCAGCCTTGTTTCAAAAAATTTCATGTATAGGTTACTAAGAACAGGTGAAAGAGGATTTCCCATTGCCATACCAAACTTCTAAGTGTAAAACTTATCATTAAATACAAATTTTGCATCATTAATTATGATTTACCATTGCCAGTTCCTACTACCATTAAACTTATTAAACTTTGCATTGTTGATGCAAAATCTGTATTTAATAAGTTTTACACTCAGAAGTTTGGTATGGCATTGGGAAATCCTCACTCTCACTCCCTCCACTACATCGAAGGCTACTCCGTGTCTCACCACTATTAGCCCCAACAGTGACACGATGAACCACCATGTCTCACCTCCATTATTTCCACAGGGACACCCAGAATAAACCACTGGCAGCAACTTTAACTGCAGCATATATTCTTGACTGTACACCAACATTCACTCACTTGACTATTCCTCTAGTTAGCAAAAAAATACTGTTGAGGGCTAGTGCTACCATAACTAATCTACAATTACAAGCAAGTTTCAAGACTAACAAGCATTAGCCAGCATGTAATGTTTAAGGATAATAAACACTAGAGATTAGGGAAATTTGAATGATAATAGCCATATAATAGGGAGAAAGACTCAATGGTAATCTATAAACAAGATAAACAAAGAACACGAGCAGCAAAATGTAAAAAAAAAAAAAAAATAGCAAGCAAGCAAGCAAGCACCAAACAGCAGGAAAAGTTGGAGATGAAGAAGTAACCACTCACCAGAATAATTTGGAGCAATGTCAGTGAAGTTGACAAGTAGACTGGTGGTGATGGACCCATTGAGAAAGAGACTCAGACAGAGTAGTGACACTGCTAAAGATGCATCACAACCAGCATAGGACACCACCAGCAAGACTGCAGCTGGACCCAGCATTGCTGTTGAGGTACTCTGCTTCCAGTAACAGGTAGATAACACTGCTTTTTAAGAGTGAATATATGCTATTTGGAATTTATAGGAAATTGTTAAGCTAATGTATGCTAAATTGGATTCAATACTCACAGTGCAATATTTTGGCCTCTGATCCCTGATTAGCATTTTGAGTACTCTTTTTTGAAGCTAAATGATAATGAATGGTGATAGAAGAGATACAAAGGTCTGTGTTCCTACTATGCATTTCTACTGTACAGTAGTCCCCCTGTATCTGCAGGGGATATGTTCTAAGACATACTATGATTACCTGAAAATGTGGATAGTAGCAAACCCTATATTTAAGTCATTTGTCATTTTTCATTTACATACATACCCATGATAAAGTTTAATTGATAAATTATGCAAAACAAGTCTGATGGGAAGTATTTCACAGAACTGCCAGCATCACTACTTTTGCACTTTGGGGCCAATATTAAGCATAATTAAGGGTTATTTTTGGGCTACAGCAAACCGTGGATAACTGAAACTGCGAATACCGAATCTGTGGATATGGGAGTTCTACTGTATATTGTTGGTTAAAACAGTACTATATTCAGTTTATCTGGTTTAATACAAAAGTTTTAATAAAAATATATGAAACAATAGCCAAACTTTGCAGGATTGAGCAATTAAGGTATGTATATATACCACATCTCTGTCGTGCTACAAAAAAAAAAAAAAAAAAATCCTCACTGGTTTACAAATATCCAGCCCAATGGAGATGTGCCTTCAGACCTTAACTCAAGGATGACTCAGGTACCTGTGATTGGACTGACCCAATTATTATTATTCATTATGAAGTACTGAAACCTATAGCATCCAATGGGAGGTAATCAGATTTGATCCAAGGAAGTGGAAGGTAATTCCAATTCATTGCATCAAGATCCCTTTATGAACATCAAGACATCTTCCTGGAAGAGGAAATGAACTCATAAAAAGCTTTATTTTAGTCCTTGTGCTCTGCATGTACAACTTTACTTTTGCTGGGGGTTTTCTCTATAAAAATTACAAATGAATTACAATTACCTGTATGCAATATGTATACAGCATGGGCCCCATTTGTACGGGTCTTAGGTTCCCAACCCTGTGCAATAAGGGAAAATCAGTGGCAGGTGGAAGAGTGGTTTTTTCAGTCTCAGTTGCATAGAACACCTGATAACACGTTTACACTATTAAGTGCTCAATATAGCTAGGCATAAAAATAAATATACAATACAGGAGGGCCCTGCTTATACAACAGGCTAGGTTCCAGGCTACCACTGTGTGTGTGTGTGTAAAGCAAAAATTGCTGAAAAGTGAATCATAGTCTTTCTTCACTTTCAAATGCATATAAAAGCCTGATAACATGTTTATACTGTCATATACAGTGGAGCCTCTGCTTACGAATTCCCCGCCATGCGAACTTTTCAGGATACAAACCGTCGTTTGATCAATTTTTTGCTTCTGGATAGAAATGAAATTTCAGGATGCGTACTTCCCCCTCAGGGGAGGTTCCTTAAATAAATAAAATATTTATTTCTTTGCAAAGGTTACAGTGTGTGTGTTTACATATCATAATATGATTGGAGCAAAGTCAGCCACTATCTTGCCGAGGCATTTTGGGCAGATTTAACCTAATACTTATAGATTACTTAAGTCTAGACAGGTGAAAAGTAGTGGTTACCAATGTTTTGCTGATGGTGGCGCCAACTACTGTTGGCCTTTTGAAGTTTCTCCTTACTGTTATTATTATTATATTGTATATTATTGTTATAATAATTATTATTATTATTATTTTATTATCACACTGGCCGATTCCCACCAAGGCAGGGTGGCCCGAAAAAGAAAAACTTTCACCATCATTCACTCCATCACTGTCTTGCCAGAAGGGTGCTTTACACTACAGTTTTTAAACTGCAACATTAACACCCCTCCTTCAGAGTGCAGGCACTGTACTTCCCATCTCCAGGACTCAAGTCCGGCCTGCCGGTTTCCCTGAACCCCTTCATAAATGTTACTTTGCTCACACTCCAACAGCATGTCAAGTATTAAAAACCATTTGTCTCCATTCACTTCTATCAAACACGCTCATGCATGCCTGCTGGAAGTCCAAGCCCCTCGCACACAAAACCTCCTTTACCCCCTCCCTCCAACCTTTCCTAGGCCGACCCCTACCCCGCCTTCCTTCCACTACAGACTGATACACTCTTGAAGTCACTCTGTTTCGCTCCATTCTCTCTACATGTCCGAACCACCTCAACAACCCTTCCTCAGCCCTCTGGACAACAGTTTTGGTAATCCCGCACCTCCTCCTAACATCCAAACTATGAATTCTCTGCATTATATTCACACCATCATTGCCCTCAGACATGACATCTCCACTGCCTCCAGCCTTCTCCTCGCTGCAACATTCATCACCCATGCTTCACACCCATATAAGAGCATTGGTAAAACTATACTCTCATACATTCCCCTCTTTGCCTCCAAGAACAAAGTTCTTTGTCTCCACAGACTCCTAAGTGCACCACTCACCCTTTTCCTCTCATCAATTCTATGATTCACCTCATCTTTCATAGACCCATCAGCTGACACGTCCACTCCCAAATATCTGAATACATTCACCTCCTCCATACTCTCTCCCTCCAATCTTATATCCAATCTTTCATCACCTAATCTTTTTATCCTCATAACCTTACTCTTTCCTGTATTCACTTTTAATTTTCTTCTTTTGTACACCTTACCAAATTCATCCACCAATCTCTGCACCTTCTCTTCAGAATCTCCCAAGAGCACGGTGTCATCAGCAAAGAGCAACTGTGACAACTCCCACTTTATGCGTGATTCTTTATCTTTTAACTCCACGCCTCTTGCCAAGACCCTCGCATTTACTTCTCTTACAACCCCATCTACAAATATATTAAACAACCACGGTGACATCACACATCCTTGTCTAAGGCCTACTTTTACTGGGAAATAATTTCCCTCTTTCCTACATACTCTAACTTGAGCCTCACTATCCTCGTAAAAACTCTTCACTGCTTTCAGTAACCTACCTCCTACACCATACACCTGCAACATCTGCCACATTGCCCCCCTATCCACCCTGTCATATGCCTTTTCCAAATCCATAAATGCCACAAAGACCTCTTTAGCCTTATCTAAATACTGTTCACTTATATGTTTCACTGTAAACACCTGGTCCACACACCCCCTACCTTTCCTAAAGCCTCCTTGTTCATCTGCTATCCTATTCTCCGTCTTACTCTTAATTCTTTCAATAATAACTACCATACACTTTACCAGGTATACTCAACAGACTTATCCCCCTATAATTTTTGCACTCTCTCTTTTGTCCCCTTTGCCTTTATACAAAGGAACTATGCATGTTCTTTGCCAATCCCTAGGTACCTTACCCTCTTCCATACATTTATTAAATAATTGCACCAACCACTCCAAAACTATATCCCCACCTGCTTTTAACATTTCTATCTTTATCCCATCAATCCCGGCTGCCTTACCCCCTTTCATTTTACCTACTGCCTCACGAACTTCCCCCACACTCACAACTGGCTCTTCCTCACTCCTACAAGATGTTATTCCTCCTTGCTCTATACACGAAATCACAGCTTCCCTATCTTCATCAACATTTAACAATTCCTCAAAATATTCCCTCCATCTTCCCAATACCTCTAACTCTCCATTTAATAACTCTCCTCTCCTGTTTTTAACTGACAAATCCATTTGTTCTCTGGGCTTCCTTAACTTGTTAATCTCACTCCAAAACTTTTTCTTATTTTCAACAAAATTTGTTGATAACATCTCACCCACTCTCTCATTTGCTCTCTTTTTACATTGCTTCACCACTTTCTTAACCTCTCTCTTTTTCTCCATATACTCTTCCCTCCTTGCATCACTTCTACTTTGTAAAAACTTCTCATATGCTAACTTTTTCTCCCTTACTACTCTCTTCACATCATCATTCCACCAATCGCTCCTCTTCCCTCCCGCACCCACTTTCCTGTAACCACAAACTTCTGCTGAACACTCTAACACTACATTTTTAAACCTACCCCATACTTCTTCGACCCCATTGCCTATGCTCTCATTAGCCCATCTATCCTCCAATAGCTGTTTATATTATTATTAGTACGTATGTAATGAGGGCTCTTGATCTAGGGAATTGGATCTGTGTTCCGGTTCCCTAAACTAAGCCGGTATACCTTCCATCCCCTCCCACCCACAAATGCTTCCCCATTATAATAATAACATAATATAATAAAATACACATATTATAAATAAAAATATGTAATATAATAATACGTATAATAATGTACTATAATAATTATAATAAATGACGGCTTTGAAAGGCTGTCACAAGATGGCAGTGAATACCACAACAATGTGGGAGCAGTTATGGCTGCCTCCACTTGTCACATAATGACATATTTTATTCATTCTAGAGTATATATATCAAGTTTCTATGTTATTCATATTGCTTATTATGTCATATTAGATCAATTGTGATAGATAAATAAGCCACAGAGCTGATATTAGCATTATATTGAAGTGTATTTTTCCTGCCTCTGAGAGCAGGAATACTGCCAGAATGGATTAATGGCTTTTCAATTAATTTAAATAAGAAAAATTGACCAAGCATACGAACAAATCAGGATACAAACAAGGTCATGGAACAGATTAAGTTCGTAAGTCGAGGTTCCACTGGATTAATTGAGTAGTATAGCTGGGTCTCAAATATACATATACAGTACACACTTTACAGTGGACCCTCAACCAATGATATTAATCTGTTTCAGAGAGCTTATCGTTAGACGAATTTATTGTTAGTCGAATTAATTTTCCCCATAAGAAATAATGGAAATCCAATTAATCCATTCCAGACACCCAAAAGTATGGAAAAAAAAATTCACATGAAATATACATTTTCCTAGACAAAAACAAGGATACATGTACAATAAATACTGTACTAAATGAAGAATAAGTGACACTTACCTTTATTGAAGATGTAGTGATGAGATGGGAGGAGGGGAGATGGAGGTGTATTATTTTTTGGAAGGGGAATCCCCTTCCATAAGGACTTTAGGTACCAAGTCCTTTTCTGGGGTTACTTCCCTTCTTTTTTTAATGTCACTGGGAACAACTTGAGTCACTGGCCCTTTGTCCATATAGCTCTGTACCTCGCATTCCTTTAAGATTTTCCTAAAATGGGCCACAACATTGTCATTGTAAAAGTCACCAGCATGGCTTGCAACAGCTGTGTCAGGGTGATTTTTATCCATAAAGGTTTGCATGTCAACCCACTTTGCACAAATTTCCTTAATCTTTGAAGAAGGCAACTTCCTCAATTTCTCTTTGCCCTTCTCTGAAGCAATTTCCTCAGTTGTGTTCTCTTGCTGTTGCAGATGCTCTAGCAGCTCATCAGTGGTTAGTTCTTTATCGTTGTCCTCCACCAACTCTTCCACATCCTCCCCACTAACCTCCAACCCCAAGGACTTTCCCAATGCCACAATAGATTCCACAACTCGCATAGGCTTCTCAGGGTTAGCCCCAAACCCTTCAAAATCCCTCTCTTCTACACACTGTGGCCACAATTTTCTCCAAGCCGAGTTCAAGGTCCTGTTAGTCACTCTCTTCCAAGCCTTACCTATAAGGTTCATGCAACTGAGGATAGTAAAGTGATCTTTCCAAAAGTCTCTTAGAGTCAATTGACTGTCTGATGTCACTTCAAAGCACTTTTGAAACACTGCTCTTGTGTACAGTTTTTTGAAATTTGCAATGACCTGCTGGTCCATGGGCTGGAGAGGAGAGGAGTGGTATTAGGAGGCAAAAACTTGACTTTCATAAAACTCAAAGTCTCCCACAATTCACTCTGGCAAGTCTGAAGGATGACCAGGAGCAGTGTCTAATACCAGGTGGCACTTAAGGTCAAATTTATTTTCCAGGAGATAATTTTTCACAGTGGGGCCAAACACATGGTAAAACCAATCATAGAAAATGTCCCTAGTGACCCATGCCTTACTGTTTGCCCTCCATATCACACACAAATTAGCCTTGATGACACTTTTTTTCTTGAACACTCTGGGAGTTTCAGAGTGATACACGAGTAGAGGCTTCACATTGCAATCCCCACTAGCATTACTACACAACATTAAAGTAACCCTGTCTTTCATATGCTTGTGTCCTGGGAGTACTCTTTCCTCCCGTGTAACGTATATACTGTTCGGCATTTTCTTCCAAAACAGGCCTGTTTCGTCACAATTAAACACTTGTTGGGGTTTGAATTTTTCAGTGTCTATGTACTCCTTGAATTCCTGCACATATTTTTCAGCCGCTCTTTGGTCCGAACTGGCAGTCTCACCAAGCCTTACCACACTGTGTATGCCACTATGATTCTTAAATCCCTCAAACCAACCTTTGCTGGCCTTAAATTCAATAACACCCCCACTAGTTGCAGGCATTTATTCAATTAAATCATCATGCAACTGTCTTGCCTTTTCACACATGATTGTTTGAGAGATACTATCTCCTGATACCTGTTTTTCGTTTATCCACACCAATAACAGTCTCTCAACATCTTCGAGTACTTGTGATCTGTGTTTCGAAAACATTTGCACCTTTCGCAACAACAGCTTCCTTGATTGCTTTTCTGTTGGCCAAGATAGTAGTGATGGTTGATTGGGGTTTGTTATACAACCTGGCCAGCTCGGAGACCCGCACCCCACTTTCGTACTTTGTTATCTCCTTCATTTCTATTGTAATTCTAATGTATAAACACCAAACACAATGAACACTGTCTCAACTGAAAGCCATTGAAAACACGGAACACCGAAAAGAGGGTGCCAAATACCTGGGTCCCTCTGTTTATTATTCTACCCCTAAGAATTGATAAAAGTACAAGTACAGGGCTCATGAGTGCCTGTCAAGTCTTAGCCCCTCTGAACATTCTGGTTTTCTTAGCTAAAGAAAAGACGAGAAGATAAGGTACACAGGATGGTGAGTTAACACATACCTATAGCACTGTATATCCTGCGGGCATTAACAATAGTCAGGTAACCATGCCCAACTAGCCAGTCACCACTAGTGCTGGAGATTACTCCACCCATGTAGCGCAAGAGAAACGGTAGACCCGATAAAAACCCATTCTGGAAAGGATAATACTGCATTAGGTAAAATAAAAATACAGTAGGACCCCCCGTATCTGCGGGGAATACAGTGGAACCTCGGTTATCAACTGTAATCTGTTCCAGAAGGTTGGCCTAAAACCGAAATGGCTGAAAACCAAAATAATATTTCTCATAAGAATTAATGTAAATACAATTAATCCATTACAGACACCCCAAAAATATTAATAAAAAATACATTTTTTAAAGATTAACTATAGTTTTACATACACAAAACAATGAGAAAAATATAAAGCACTAATTTTACTAATAAGTGAATATTACATACCTTTATTGAAGACTCTTGTGGGCATATGGAAGAAGGCAAAGAGGGGTTACTTCCCTTCTTTGTCTTTTACTGCCATTAGGACCAGCTTGAGAGTCACTGCACTCCTGTTGCACAAAAAAACAGTCCACTCCCTGCCTGCCTGCTACACTCCCTGCATGCCTGCTACAGTCCCTCCCTTCCTGCTACACTCCCTGCATGCCTGCTACACTCCTTGCCTGCCTGCTACACTCCCTGACACAGCCAGACTGACTCACAAACATGGCGGAGCGGTGGGTGGATGCATCCAATACTCCCTGCCTTCCTGCTACACTCCCTGACACAGCCAGACTGACTCACAAACACGGCAGAGCGGTGGGTGGATGCATCCAATACTCCCTGCCTGCCTGCTACACTCCCTGACACAGCCAGACTGACTCACAAACACGGCGGAGCGGTGGGTGGATGCATCCAATATGACCGATCTCCAAAATAACGGCTGATAACCGGGATAGAGTTTCGGCCAAAAAAGTGGGTGAAAATAGAATTGGCCGATATCCGGAACGGCCGATAACCGAGGGTCCATTTCAAGAACCTCCTGCAGATACTGAAACAGCAGACAGTAGCGAACCCTATATACAAGTTCTATATATACCTATTATAAAGTTTAATTGATAAATTACACACAATAAGTGGAGAATTATTACTTTATCACTGATGGGAAGCACTTCACAGCTTCTCTTAGGCTTTGAAGAGCTTCCACCATTACAACAGTGGAACCTTGGTTTTCACATGACCCATACAAAACGTTCGGTTTTCCTAGAGTTGAAAATGGTCTGTACCAAACGTATCCTTGTGACTCAGCCACTCAAGTGCCCACACAAAGCATCCTATGCGTTCGTGACTCAGTCTGCCTTTGTTTCTCGTTGAGTGAGCATCACCCTGCGCATTCATCTGAAACATTTCGTAATAATCCATTGTTGTTTGTGCTTGTTTACTGAGTGCGACTGCTAAATAAGCCACTATAGGGCCAAAGAAAGTTCCAAGTGCCAGCCCTTTGATAAAGAAGGCAAGAAACACAATAGAATATTGTCTTTGGGGAAGTCCATGGGGTTGGATGCGAGTGGCCAGGATGTGGAAGAGTTGGTGGAGGACCACAAGGAAGAGCTAACCACTGAAGAGCTGCAAGACCTTCAACTGGAATAGTAACAGACCACAGCTGAGGAAATTGCTTCAGAGGAGAAGGAAGAGAGAGGGGAGAATGTGCCTTCTTCAGTGATTAAGGACATACAGGTCTCCCTCAACATTCACGTTTTCAACTTTCACGGGCTTCACACATTCGCGAATTCCCAACCGCCAAATCATATTTAAGTTTCCCGCCACCTGCAAGTCCCTACTACCTTCCCTCCGACCCTTGCAACTGGCAGCCAGCCCTCCCACCACTCAGTGTGGTGAGTGTTTTGTTTGTTCATTATTTACTATTAAACTACAGTATAAATAATGTAAACCCATTCATGACTGCATATTGGAATGGCTATTCAGACAGGTATTAGACGGTGACATCATGTGTTTACTCTTGAACACTGCAAAGAATTAAACAATTCTGCTACAGCTAATAATAACAATAGTAATAATAATAATAATAAATATGATATAATTGAAGAAGGAAATTGTACAAAAATACGAGGGAGTGGTTGACATTGTCAGTGTGACTTTGTTTATGCTGGAGTGAGCATTAGTCTCCCTGCTCTTCCAAACATTTCACAATAATTCATTGTGTTTGGTGCTTGTAGATTGAGTGTGACTGGAGTGGTAGAGGCAGTGATTGAGGCAATGGTATTTAATAACATACATGTTAATAATAATACATGTTATTAATATGTACTATTATTATTTATAACACATATGTTATTAAATACATACATGTTAATAATAATACATGTTATTAATAACATGTACTATTATTATTTATAACATATACAGGAGGGCCCCGCTTTACGGCGTTCCGCTAATACGGACATTTCAAATTATGACCAAAACTCGCTATACGGCTCCCCCCACCTGTCTTTCTAATACGGTCACAGCGGCCCACCGAGTTTGTTTACATTCTCCCTGAGCACATCTCCTTATTATGTCTGGAAACTTTCCAAAATTTCAAATGTTTTAAAGTTATTGTATATTTTATATGTATTGTACTTGATAATTAAACTTGTGTACACCTGTACCTAAATAAACTTACACACTGTGCTGGCATGTAGGTACACATTAAAATCACTAAAAGTCTCTCTACTCTTGATGCAATAATAATAATAAAAATAATAATAATAATAATAATAGTAATAATAATCTCTTGGGCGCATTAATGTCGCATATTACGTTAATATAGACATTTCCCTTAATCTATCTATGATATTTTTTTCAAAATTATATAAGAAACACATTATGTAACACACAAACATGATACATGCACCCACAGTATAAAAATTTATACAAATATATATGAGATGTTTACCAAACGGTTTGTAGAAGTGTCGGAAGAATTACGTTTTCTCTAGCCCGTCACCTGTTACTAGGGATAACTGTAGAAAAATATTCCTTTCGTATGCCTTCACTTTATAGCTATAATACTGTACTAACTTGTACACAGTGTAAGAGTATTTGTTTCGTGATTTAATTATAATAATAATAAAAATATTATAAGGTAAAAGTTTCACAAACTCTTACAAATGTACATGAATGAACTAAAACTGGACACGTATTAATACCGTCTATTTCGCCTGACCGAGTGATCGTCCACAACCTGTTCAGTTTGTTTGTTTACGCTGTCTGAGCTCGGTGTATCATTAAATGTTGTATATTACGTTAATATACACATTTTCATTAATCCATCCGTGATATTTTTTTCAAAATTACATAATAAACACGATACATAACATAAATACATAACATATGTGTAGAGAACCTAGGATAACCCAAAAAAGTCAGAGTGACTTACTTCCATTGCCTTCACTCAGAGCATCATTTCTTCTCAAAATGATGTTACATGAGAATGGGAGTGTTCTTCTTTATTTATTCTACCGTATCAATGTAGAGACAACCTGTACACAATGTAACTTGTACACAAACCAGACGTGTACACTGTTTACAAAACTTACCTTCGCCTGGTTTGTTTACATAACTCTGCGCCTGTCCTCTCTCATGCACTCATTCTTTTTCTCTGGTATGGTAGCCTGGCTGACTACCATACATACCACACTTGATTTTTTACAATAAACACTACTCATCTCACCCTATATTTTAAGGTAATGAGTGAACTGTATATACATTTTATCGCTCTGGGATGCTTAAATATCATAGAATAGTATGTGTGGGTGGGGTGGCCTGGTATGGTAGCCTGGCTGACTACCATACATACCACACTTGATTTCTTACAATAAATACTACTTGTCTCACCCTAGATTAAGACTAAATATTTTAAGGTAAGTAATGAGTGCACTATGTGTGTATTGTACTTTTTTATTGTTTTTTGATGCCTGGTTCTATTGCTAACATAATATATGTTAGTGTAAACTTGTTATCTAGTGTTTGTATGCATTTGTAAGTGGAAAAAAAGGGTGTTCCACTTTACGGCGGTTTCCGCTTTACGGCGGTAGCCTGGAACCTAACCCGCTGTATAAGTGGGGCCCTCCTGTATGTTACTAAATACCACTGCCTCAACCGCTGAATTATTGTGAAATGTTTGGAAGAGCAGGGAGACTAATGTTCACTCCAGCATAAACAAAGTCACACTGACGATGTGTCAACCACTCCCTCGTATTTTTGTATAATTTCCTTCTTCAATTATATTGTATTTATTATTATTATTATTACTATTGTTATTATTAGCAATAGCAGAAATTTTCGATTCTTTGCTGTGTTCAAGAGTAAACACATGATGTCACCATCTAATACCTTTCCTAATAGCCATTCCAATATGCAGTCATGAATGGGTTTACATTATTTATTCTGTAGTTTAATAGCAAATAATGAACAAACAAAACACTCACCACACTGAGTGGTGGGAGGGCTGGCTGCCAGTTGCAAGGGTCGGAGGGAGGGTAGTAGGGACTCGCAGTGGTGGAGGCATTGGTGGAGGCAGTGGTGGAGTCTGTGGTATTTAATAACATACATGTTATTAACATACATGTTATTAAATAACATACGTTATTAAAGCATAACATGTATATATTTAGTACAATTTACGACGTTTTCATGTATTTTATGATTATTCATGGTTCAACAAGTTAAGGAAGCAGTATCGTAATATATTTCCCTACAATATATTGGGGCACCAAACATTCACGGTTTTTCAACATTCGCGAGGCTCTTGATCCCCTAACCCTCTCGAATGTTGAGGGAGGCCTGTATTTGCAAAGTGGAGTGAGTTGCAAAGTTTTGTGGAGAAATATCACCCTAACAAAGCTGTTGCAAGCCGTGTCTGCAACATGTTCAATGATAATACCTTGTCCCATTTTAGGCAAATCTTAAAGAGACGCCAGAAACAGACCTCCCTGGACAGATTTTTTTGTGCGACAGGGGTACAGTGACTCTCAAGCTGGTCCTAGTGCCAGTAAAAGACAAAGAAGGGATGTAACCCCAGATAGGGCCTTGATATCTGAAGTCCTTATAGAGGAGGATTCCCCTTCCAAACAATAACCTCCCCTCCTCCCTCTCCCCTCCCCTCCGACAAGAGTCTTCAATAAAGGTAAAAGTGATGTTAAATGTTCATTTATCCATTTCATTAGTCATTTATATTTATTTCTCATTGTTTTCTGTATGTAAAACTATATTCTCTATAAAATGTATTTTTTTTTTAATATTTTTGTGTCTGGAACGGATTAATTGGATTTACATTATTTCTTATGGGAAATATTGCTTCAGTTTTCATATGATTCAGTTTTCATCAGACTTTTTAGAATGGATTAATCACGAAAACCAAGGTTCCACTGTACTTTTGCAGTCTGAGGCCATTACTAAGCAGATTTAGGGGTTATTTTTGGGCCATGATAAGCCAAGGATAACTGAAAACGCAGATAACGGACCCACGGATATGGGGGCCCTATTGTAATACTTCTGTTAAAATCCAACATTTTTCTTTTCTTTTATGGTGACTGGTATTTGAAATTGTTGGTCTCACTGTGGTTTTTTAACTGACAAAGAACTCTGAAATGAATCTGTGGATAGCCAAAGTAAAAAACACCTTCAAAAAGAGGTAAGTATACCTTTGTGATGGAGAAGCCGAGGACATTCTTCATGTAGGTGGGGAGTTGTGTCAAGAAAATAGTGAGGCAAAGGAGTTTCCTATGTCACAAATGATGATGGCCAGCACAGGGAGACTGGTAGCAAGCTTTAGCCAGGGAACATGCCTCAATGTGGTTCTTGTTACTCCACTAGTTGTTACAGCAGTCTCTATGTACTCTAACTCCTTAGCACTGATTCTGAAATATGAATAAATTACTATGCATTTACCTCTTAGTTTCTATTGATTTATTTCAATTTATAAAAGTACTCATTTTTATTCTCTTTGTCCTGCTCATGTGCACTCACCACAATAACAGATCCTTCTCACCGTGGGTGTTGCAGTGGAGTATCATACATCAAGGGAAACCACAAACAGCACCAGCCAAGTGCCAGTGACCCTGTCAGGTAGAAGGTGGCATCCCAGCCGTGGGTCTCGATAACATAGCCACAGAGAGGCAGGGTGAATGACACACTCAAAGTACTGCCTAATAAGCAGTATGTGTGTAGAGAAGGTAAAGATGCATGCCAAGTCAAGCCCAGCACAACCAGCAAGGAAAAGAGAAAATGGTTCTTAAATTATGGATAATTGGGAGAGGCATGGAGATAAGGAATGATATACAGGTTGGCCATCACTAATCCAGCATCATTGGGACTTGTAGTGTGCCAGATTAGTGAATTTGGTGGATTACCAAGTGGTTAGGTTAGAATATGCTTAATTAACCTATCAACAGAGACTCTTTCTGCTACATCTTCCTCATTCTCATCACTGCTTTCTCGTCCACTGGCCTGCTGCTGTAGATTTACAACCATCTGCACAATTTCTGAGTCAGTATAATGATGAAATTTGAGTCAGTATAATGATTTGAGTCAGTTTAATGATGAAATTATAAATTATGCTAGCTGAAATTAGTGCCGGATTACTGATGGAACTGGATAACTGATTGCTGGATTAGTGATGGCCAACCTGTATTATTATAATTAAATTCATGAAGAGCACCTAAACCTGCAAGGCTCATACATCACCTGGTGAATGGGAAGAAATCAGGGTTGATCCAAGGAGAGTAGGATAGCTTCAACTGCTTGGATCAAGAGCCTTTTGAAACAATATCATGGTAATCCCTCCTTTTCCACTGAGGGAAAGGAATGATGTGGGAAAAGCACAAGAACAAGCAGTATGTTATATACAATAGATGTGAAAGCTTAAGCATGAATACATGTCCTGAGCATAAATATATATGGAAATGTGAAAATGTATATTTTTGCTTCTTAGTGTGAACTTGCAAAATTTAAATAATAAAACTGTATATATGCAAACTGCACACACATCACATAAATAATTGTACTTTAGCCCATTAACTGTCCAAATGTGGATCTACGTTCTTACTGCTAGTGCTCCAAACGTAGATCTACATTTTATTTTTCTTGCTTCCAAATTTGGGACGCTTGGTCTGAGATGCCTAGTCAGTATAGAATGGGTCTTAACACTTGCTGTGTGCAGTACTAAAAACATCTGTGACCACCTAGTACCTTGCGGGAGCACCAGTTCAATTGAGTGCCAGCTAGAGCAAAGAGTGTGGCAAACACCAGGGATTCGCTGGTGTCATGTCGTATTAACACTCCCCTTTTAAGAGGAAAGTGATGCTGAGCCTGAGTTTAGTGACTTTGAGATGGATCTGGCCACAAGTGGTCAAGGAAATATCAAAAATTTCGATAATAACCCATGTGCAACATCCTTTCAATTTTGATACTACTGGCAGTGTCATCCTGCCAGAATGTCCTATAACCTATGCCCCAAGTAAAGAGAATTCTGGAACATGTGTAATACGTGTCTGGTTGGCCGGCCAGGTGGCTGATTGACTTTGGCTGTCTCTATCTCCATCTGTCTGTATCTGTCTCTCTATCTCTGTCTATCTGTCTCTACCTTACAGGTACATATAAATAGTTATTATACATTGTGTAGATGTAAGGAATAATAAGCATGACTGACGAGTAATATGCATTTTCACCTGTTAGTTCATGAGTGGCTCTCTGAGACAGAGAGAGAGACAAGCAGAGAGAGACAGGAAGACAGACACACAGGCAGATAGAAAGACAGATAAGCAAAGACAGAGATAAAGAGGCAGAGCTAGACAGACAAACAGATAGACATGTTTATATGTAACAGTGAAAACAAACAAAGCCAAGGCATATAAAAGTTATTACTCATGTGCAAGTTAATTGTTCTACCATATTGTATTACTACTACTACTACTACTACTACTAGTGTTGCACCTCACTCTGAGCCTATATATACCCTCTGTGTCCATGTACTGTTTGTAACGGCTTGACAAAGCTCCTGGAGAGCGAAACGTTTCCACAATAAAAATGTCACATTAGTTGCACTTGTGTCCTTTGACTTTACATATTGTCGGTAATTCTACCAACATTATTACAAAGCCAAGGCAGTGCGCTATCATCAAGTGTTACTCAACTGCTGCACTGTCATCTTACACCATGCTTCAAGGAGTTTCATATATATTCCAGCATGTCTAAAACACTGCTGGGACCTATAAATACTATGTATATATTTCTAGACAATAGTAGGTGACCAAGGCAGGTGAAAATGTTCACCTGCCAGTGTGTTTGTGACTATTTGAGTACTATTTCAGTATCTAATAATAGTGTCAGAACAAACATTGGCTATGAAATCACAAGAACTACTACAAATTGTAATTATCAGAACATAAAAAATAATGTATAAATTAAAAAAATAAGAAAAAACATATATCTGCAACACTTCTGCAAGCAGCAAGACTCCATGTTACCATCAGGTGAGCATCCAGTGCCAACTTTGCGGTCTTATATCTTGGTAAGTACTGACCCTGAAATTGTTTTTTTTTCTTTTTTGGTCTTATTACACACAGAAAATTACCCTCTTTAATTAAAAAAAAAATCAAAATATTCGGAGCGCTGGGCGAGAGAACATAGATCTACGTTTGGACAGTTAACAAGTTAAAGCAGATTTAGTGATGTGAAACAAGGAAAGTGCTTATTAGGCAGATTTGTAAAGAAGCAAAGGCAGAAAGCAAAAGTACACATAGAAGGTCAAACCATGAACTATGACAACATGATGGAAAGTATGTGCAGAAAAAGTGGTAGTGCACCTGAAGAAAATGAGCTTCATTACAGGAAATTAGTGTAGATTTTATGAAGTAAAATTATACCACATAAGCCTACTAGCATTACAAGAAACTTCAAGGTCAAGCAGGAGATGAACTAGTAGACTGCACATTCTTAACACAAGAGGAAACTCTGATTACAGATTGATCCACATTGAAAATAAAAAAAAATTGCTATTTTTTTTTTTCAAAGTGGACACTTGATAGCAATATTAATTTTGGGGGTTAACAGAAAAACCTGTAAATTCTAGATGTATTTCAAAGTGTTTTAGTCCTGAAAATTAGTTATCCTGGGTGAAAAGGATTTTTTTTTTTTTAACCTTCTAACCCTTTCAATGTTGAGACCCCTGATCACAAACTTGCTCTCAGTGTCGAAGAATATAAAACAAAAAAATTCTTATGAAATGACAGAGAATCTTTTCCCAATGGTAATGAAAAAGTATGAAATTTGATGTAAAACTTTTGGAATTACGCTCTCGCAAAGTTAGCGATCTCGGCAATATTTATGCATCGGCAATTTTGCCCACTTTGAGCCCTATTTTTAGCCAATTCCATTGTTCCAGTCAACTAAACTCATAGCTATTTTGCTAGAACTTTTGTCCTGTCGATTGAATACAAGAAACCACCCATTTACCTATTTCAACTACCCAATAAAGTGAACAGAAATTGGTAATTTGGCCAATTTCATACAAAATTCAAGGAAGGCCAATTTCAAAATAGGGTCCAGAATTAACAATGCAAACATTCTAAGCACTAAAATAACATTTTCTCTGTTCATTAGTTACGTCTCCAGGCCCCTCTTATATTACGTTTGCTTTCCATTTTGAATTTTTATTCATACAAAAAAAATAGAAGATTTACTGCTATGCAGACTATTACATTATTGTAAAAATGGTATAAATAATATCAGCTTATTTGTGAAAGCATATTAGACCCACCAGCTCATGTGCATTTGACACGTGACGTGATTTGTTTACTCTTAAACATTGGCAAAAATTTAACATATCTGCCACTTCAAGCTCAATTTCAAGGTACTTCTAGTGTATAAACCATTCAAAATCATCTCTATTCCTGTAATATATCTTCCATTCTATCAAATGAGACCACGAAAATGAGACAATCACAAATACCATGTGAAAATACACCGCAAATTCCCTGTTTTAAACCAAAAACATGGTTGCAGTTTTTTCTCATTATGCACTGAGTACTGCAGGATTTTTTTTATATTGCACACACTGACCACTCAGACCCATTCTGTCATATGCAGGCCTACCAGCTATCTCCCACAAGATTGGAAGCCGCTAGAATTTTGGTGTATTATTATGGGATCGACACTGGCTTGCAAGCCGTAATATTACAGGACCACCAGTGAAAGGGTTAAGATGACCCAAAAAAAGAAGAAACACTCGCCATTATTCATTCTGTCACTTTCTTGACAGAAGTGTTCCAACATTAAATCAATTCAGATGATCTTCCAAACTGCAACATCCCCACCTCTCCTTCGATTCTGGCAAACTAGTTTAACCAAAATCCCTTCATAAGTATTACTTTGCTAACACTCCAGATCATAGGACAACCCCTACCCCTCCATCCATCTACCCCAGATTTATAACACCTCCTAGTCATCCTATTTTCAAAATAGGGTCCAGAATAAACAATGCAGGCATTCCTGGAACTAAAATTACATTTCCTCTGTTCATTAGTTACATTTTTAGGTTTGAGGTTTTACACAAATTCCATTTTGATTTTTAACACAAAGAATTTTTACTTGTACAAAAAATATGAGAATTATTGTTATGCAATATTGTAATAACTGTATAAATAATATCAGCACATTTGTGAATGCATATTGGACCCACCAGCTGAACATGTATTGGACAAGTGATGTGATTTGTTTACCCTTGAATATCAGCAAAAATCAAACATTTCTGCTACTTTGAGCTTAATTTCAAGCTATTTTTGGTAAAGAAATCAATGAAAATCATCTCTATTTCCGTAAATATATCTTCCATTCTATAAAATGAGACCAGGAAACTGAGAATACAACCATAAAAACCAAACAAAAATACACTGCAGTCACCGTTTTAAACAAAAAAGAGAGTCGGAGTTTTTTTTCCTCACGCACTGTATGCTGTAGGATTTTTTTTTATATGGTACACATTTACCACATAGATCCATTCTATCTAAGCCCAAATTTACCACTCACAGTTTATCTGAGTGAGCTGAGCTCATGCCATAGTCCTACGGCACAGCCAGTGAAGGGGTTAATGACTTTTCATTTCTAACACACTGAGTTTCAATTATTTTACCTGCTATTTATTAGTCTTCTTTTGTTTCAGATTCCATCGAGACTGACCTAAGAGCACATAGGCGACAAATCTTGGACGTTCTGAAGGAGGAATCCAGCGAGCCACAAGACACTGCATGGACGGCCATGAGACACCCTGCAGGATAACAGCTTGAGGGTACAACAAAAATACATGATGCAGCAAACAAAAGTTTGACTCAAGGGTGGCACAGAGGGCAGGAAACGAAGGAAAATAAAGTGGTTGGGTGATTGAAAGAAATAATCAAAATTGTTCAGTGGGAGGATAAAAAATGCCAGTCACACTCATTCTAATATCTTTAAATAGGTTTATAAATGCATATCTTCATATGAAAGTAAGAAGTTCAACTGTCAATTGCAGAACAGATCTAAATCCTACCAAGTTAAGAGGGTCATAATTACTATGGTAATTTAACTAGTTATCAAACAGGAAAACTACCGTAGCTAAAAATTGGGGTCCTAATTAATTTAAATTCTATAGCCAATCTGTGCTAGGATCTGAGTACAATTATTGATATTACAATTTAAAAAATCTTGCTTCTCAAGCCCTCCTAGTTAAGAATTTCAGCAAATCAAACATGGCCATTCCCTCTCAGTATTCAGCACAAAACGTCTTCCTCACTCAATTCCCACTCCATATTCAACAAATCATAACTTGGTCAACAGGGAAGCCTAGTCTCTGGCAGGACTGAGAGAGTAGGAGAACCCTCAAAACCAGTCATAGGTATGTTATAGATGCAGGTATAATGATCCCTCTCATTTGGTCCATAGCTGATACATATTTCTCATAAGGAAGCCAAGCATCACTCACACTACAGAGGCCCAAAGCAACTCTGAGGACTATGAGGGCGACATAGTGAAAGCGAGCAGCGATAGGCGTCAACAGAGTCCAGATGGCACTTGTCAAGATACAACACCCAAGGACGCGATGTGTGCCATAGATTTCAGACAGGCGACCTCCAATCACCTGGAAATACCATAAAGGAGATGCTCCAGAATAAAGGTGACTTGCATAATGGAACATGCAACTTGCATGAGGGTATAGTAAACCTTAGGTATAACAGACTCTAACGAGGGGATTATCTGTTAAATCAGAATGTTTAAAAAGCAGCAAAAACTGCATTAAAGTACTCTACTGTATACCTATAGTACTGTTCACACAGTTTGCAGATATAATGCAATAAGCATAGAAAATGAGTTGAAAATACCAGTGGATTTTGCCCGTAATTTTAATTCATATCAAGGGTTTACTGTATGTGTGGTGCATGAAGGTATGTATAACCTATATAGAGGTACACATGACCGATATGAAAGCCAGTATTCCGAGGTAAGTGAAAACTTGCTTGAAGGTCATTTTCTCTACTCAAGACTGACTGGCATCAAGAACATGAACCTCATAATAAACAAGATGTTCTAAAAGGGGCATGACCTACATGATGATCAAGGTGTTCTAAGCACAAACTTACCTGTGTAAATGTATATCCATAGAAATAGCTGGCCAGAACTATCCCTTGTGTTAGTTCGTCCCATTCCATGAAACCGTGAACTTCCTCCTCCATCTGCTGTTGCCACTGCTGCTGCATTTCCTCCTGTAACAAAGATGTTTGTTTCTGATACAGCCACTAATGATTCAAAACACCTGATAAAAGGTTCTATGTTACTAATGTGTTTGTCAGTAGATTTGTGGTTTAGTACAAGAAAGCTGGTATTTATGCTGCCTAATGATAGTATTTAACAGGCAACACCTGGTGTAATACACATGTATGAGTGAATACAAGAGTTAAGAAAATAAACAAATAATGAGAATAATGATGAAGGAATGAGAGTAAATAGTGAGCAAGTAAATGATCAATGGAAGTGAATGATAGGTAAACTGAATGAGTGAAATATTAAGGGGCACTCACTTTGTCTGTGGAAACATTCTCCATCATAGCCACTGTTTCATTACCTGCAAAATCAACAACCTTTCAGTGTCAGTGCCACCACAGACCAGAGCTGCTTATAATGTCTAATATGCTATTCCACAACATAATTAAGTCTGTGCAAATCTTTATATTGAGAAGATTATTTAAGTTATTTTCCAAAGTTCTGTATTTGCTGACAGATTAAACTAATAAAAAATTAGAGTAGATTTATAAACAATGAATAAATATGCAACTACTACCAATAACACTTTTTTTGAGGGAGAATTATTTGGACGACTCTTTTGTAAAATTGAAGTTTTAATGGTTAAGATATATGACCGATACTGTTACATGACTAATGCTTCATTGTACAATAATTTATGAACAACTCTTGCTTATTTGTACCACAATGTCAGTTTGATCTGCAGTACTGTACTCCTTAACACAGTTTACACTGTATTTTCCTGAGAGGGTGATATTCTTTTATCAAGATGAATGTTTTTTTGGCAAGATCAATGGTTTAAAGAAGACTATTTCTGGTGTGTATATATGACAGAAGATTAGCATTTTTCCCACTAATAAATAAGAAATGGGATTATTTGAGAAACACCTGAAGAAAGCTGATGGTCTGGACTCATGAGTACTGTACCTGTGAATGGTAGAAATTATATGGAGAGTTTAAGTTGTTCAACTTAAGCATGAAATAAGGGAAGATACCAATGAACTGGTAGAGAGCATGCATAATTTCTTTCAGCCAAAAAAAAGGGGGACAAATGAGCATAAGAATAAGGAATTAAGCTTGTTCTGTAAACCATGTAGGGTTAGGGATACGATAGAAAGTAGGATTACACAGGAAAAAGGATGGGAAGGGTAGAGATGTGTATAAAATATTTAGATAAGGGTAAGGAACTCTTGTCACATTTATGGATTTAGCAAAGGCATATCATAAGACTGACAGGAGGGCAATGTGGCAGATATTGCAAATTATGAAAGAGGTAGTAGGTTTCATTAAGGAGTTTTATGCAGACAGTGAAGCTCAGGTAAGGGTGTGTAGGAGAATAGATTGCACTCTAGCGCAGGGCCCCCTTAGGCGTGGGGCCCAATTGGAAGCAATCGGTCCAGTCGGCTTAAGGCCAGCCCTGTGTATGTGTATATATGTATGTGTATGTGTGCTTGCGTGCCTGCAAGATAACAATTTGATACAGAGTAGTAATTGTCAAAGTTGGTCTTTGTCAATGGGAGTCCTTTTTGAAGATTCAAAAGAAAATTTGTATGTGTAAAATGGAATTAACAGTGGACACAGAAGAGCAGTGATGAGAATAACAAAACACTTACGCAACAAAATAATGCATATCAGATTGGAGGGGGTGTGTGGAGGAAATTAATGTATTTAGGTATGTATCTGGGAGTAGAAGGTTCAGTAGATGGGTCTATGAAAAATAAGGTTAACCATACAAGCTGCAGGGCAGAAAAGAATAAATTCCACAACAGTCAAAATCCGAGTTAGTGAATCAACTGATTCCTTAATGGTTCATCAGTTTGTGGGAGTGTTTAAATATTGTCTTCTGCATCTAAATTAGGCTCAAATCCCCATAACAAAGTATGGTAATTTCAGGTTCATAGCTGCAGTCTTTCCCATGGCTACATTTTCTTCCATCATTTGAGTCTGGCATTTATTCTTTTCTGCCATGCAATGCCTCATAGTAGATGAGAGGAAACAGATAGGTGTAGTGTGTTGAGGCATTTGTGGAAATAAAGAAATTACCTACGAAGGTAAAAAGATGAATGTACCAAGAGCATAGTGGCACCAACACTTACATGAGCATGAAGCAAGATCTTTATATATGGCAGCAAAGAGGAGGCTGGAGGCAGTGAAGATGTCATGTTTGCATATTTGAGAGCAATATGCTATGTGAATATTATGCAGAGAATTAGAAGCACAAACATTAAAAGATGTGTGGTTACTAAAGGTATAATTCAAAGGGCAGAAGAGGGGTTAAGGTGGTTTGGTTATTAACCCATAAACGGTCCAAGCAGATCTACGTTCACATGTGTAGTGCTACAAAAGTAGATCAACGTTTTTTTTTACATATTTTCAAATGTAACAAAAAAAAAAGTAGATCAAAGTTTTTTACACATTTTCAAATGTAAAAAAGCAAAAAGAAGATCTACTTTTTTTACATACTTTCAAATGTTGAAAAAACATATAAATATGTTTGGACCGTTTATGGGTTAAGAAAGGATAGAGCAGAAAGGATGACACAGAGAATATAAATCCAGAGTGGAGGAAAGAATGGATAGGGGTCACCCCAGGAATGGTTGGAGGAAAGTGAGGGTTTTTAAGTGATAGAGACCTGAGCATTCAGCGGATGAGTGTGTGCATGGTAAATTAGTAAAGACACGTGCTGTTTTTGGGTTTGACATGCTGCTGAAGTGTAACCAAGGTAACATTTATAAAGGGATTCAGGAAAACCTGCTGGCTGGACTCGGGTCCTGGGGGTGGAAAGTACAGTGCCTTCACTCTGAAGGGAAGCTTGGGAATGAATGTTGCTGGTTGAAGGGTCATCCGAATTGTTGTCTGCACACTTGTAGGAAAACAATTATTAAACGATAATGAATGTGTTTTCTTCTTTGGGGTTACCCTACCTTGGTGAGAGATGGCCAGTTTGATGAAAAAAAGAAATATTGAGAGGGTAAGAGTCAAATAGAAAGTACCATACCCACAGAAGGTAGAAAGTATACAAGGAGTGTGGAAGGTACTGTATCTATTTAGAATAAATTACTGCACTTAGGAGACAGTCAGGAGCTTTTAAGTGGTAACTTGGTAGTGGTAAAGGCACTGATAAATGACCATAAAAATTTGAGCTCAATTATCGATACCAGAACAGTAAAGAACACTTGCCGTCAGTGGTTGGAAAATAGACAGTGTCCTTTTGTTTCAGCACTTGGGCATGCTGAAGTATACCTGTTTAGTACCTTGAGAGAAGGTGAGACACTCTGTGCTTGAAGTGGCTCTGGCAGTGTAATTGCGGTGGACCATGGCCACGATGGCAACCGAGAGGTTGACACGAAGCATGTAAATGTTAACACTCGCTAGGAAGACGAGGCCTGCCAAGACAACCCGTGTTGGCACACATCCTAGGAAAGAGCCTCCATTTGTATATTAATGTAATACACCTTGAGGAAGGTCTGTCAATTTAGTTTCCTAACCCACCACACCAGGGATGACCCACCCAGGGGTGGTGCCAAGGCTTTATTTCCCCCCAAAATTCCCTCAGATTCCTAAACACTCCCCAAACAGAATAGTAAAAACAATAACACTGCTTCAGTACAAGTTTCCCAGCCTCCCTTCCAGCTAGATAGCCACCTCTAAGCCTCCACCCCCTCCCCACCTGTATATATATTCTGACATTGCTCCTGGGAAGACCCTTTTTTAGCATAGTACTCTTACATACCCCTTACACCTTTGGAAGACCCTTTATCAGTGTAGTTCTCTTACACACATCTGGAAAGGCCCTATTTGTATAATACCCTTACACCTTGGGAGGGCCCTTTGTCAGTATATATGTAATGCCTTTGCACACAAATGAGGAAGATTCCCTCTTCAGTATACAATCCTGACATGCCAGGCATAGGTCCTCCATCACCAAAGTACGTACAAACACTAATGTGTGGTAAACTTTTAGTATACAATATTACATTATACTGTAAATAAATCACTGTTCAGGGGAGGAAGGGAAGAGAAAGGGGGGTGTCATTCATGTACATGACAGGGTCTTGTTTTATCTGGAGCTGATTTAGTCCCTCACTTTCTTTGGATCAAACAGACTGTTCCACTTCCTAACAACTCTGTGGCTGAAGAAATACTTCCTAATATCCCTTTGACTCATCTGAGTCTTCAGCTTCCAATTGTGACCCCTTGTTTCTGTGTCCCATCTCTGGAACATCCTGTCTCTGTCCACCTTGTCTATTCCACGCAGTATATTGTATGTCGTTATTGTGTCTTCTCTGACCCTCCTGTCCTCCAGTGTCGTCAGACCGATTTCCCTTAACCTTTCTTTGTAGGACATTTCCCTTAGCTCTGGAACCAGCCTTGTTGTAAACCTTTGCACGTTCTCTAATTTCTTGACGTGTTTGACCAGGTGGGGGTTCCAAACTGGTGCTGCATACTCCAGTATGGGCCTTATGTACACAATGTATAGTGTCTTGAACGATTACGAGGTATTGGAATGCTATTCTCAGGTTTTCCAGGCCCCCATATGCCATAGCAGTTATCTGGTTAACCCTTTCAGGGTCGAGAGGCCCCTCCAAAATTTGTTCTCAGGGTTGAAAATTTTTCGGGAAAAAAAAAAAAAAAATTCTTATGAAAAGATAGAGAATCTTTTCCCGATCATAATGACACCAAAAGTATGAAATTTGATGGAAAACTTATGGAATTATGCTCTTGCGAAGTTAGCGGTCTTGACGATGTTTACGCATCGGTGATTTTGCCCACTTTGAGCCCTATTTCTGGCCAATTCCAGTGTACTTGCTGACAAAAATCATGACTATTTCGCTAAAACTCCATTTTTTCTATCGAATGAGTACAAGAAATCACCCATTTACCGATTTTTAACTATCCAATAAAGTGGTCAGAAATTAGCAATTTTGCCAATTTCACACAAATTTCAAAAGATGCCAATTTCCAAACAGGGTACAGAACAAAAAAAGACATTCCTGGCACTAAAATAACATTTCCTCTGTTCATTACTCATGTTCCCAGGCCCATCTTACATTTCTTTTGCTTTCCACTTTGAATTTTTATTCTCACAAAAAATAGAAGATTTACTGTTATGCAGACTACTGCATAGTGTAGAAATGGTATATATAATACCAGCACACTTGTGAAAGAATATTAGATTCACCAGTTGACGTGTATTGGACATGTGGCATGATTTGTTTACTTTTGAACTTTGGCAAAAATCGAACATTTCTTCTACTTTGAGCTCAATTTCAAGGTACTTTTCATTGTGAAACCGATCAAAATCGTCTCAATTTCTGTAATATGTCTTCCATTCTATAAAATGAGACCAGGAAAACTAGAATACACCCATAAATACCATATGAAAATACAGTGCAAAGTCGCTGTTTTAAACCAAAAACATGGTCAAAGTTTTTTTTTCTCATTACGCACTGTGTGCTGCAGGATTTTTTTTTATACCACGCACACTGACCACATAAACCCATTCTTTCATATGTAGGCCTACCAGCTTTCTCTTGCTAGATTTGAGGGTGATAATTTAGACGTACTAGTACATCAATAACCCTGGTGCATAAGCCGTACTAGTATGTCAAACCCCGAAAGGGTAAATGTGGGCTTCTAGTGACATACTCAGTATTATACTCACCCCTAGCTCTTTCTCCTTAAGTGAGGTTTGCAGTCTTTGGCCGTCTAGCCTATACTCTGTCTGAGGTCTTCTTTGCCCTTCTCCAATCTTCATGACTTTGCATATGGCAGGGTTAAATTCTAGGAGCCAGTTGCTGGACCACACATCCAGCCTGTCCAGGTCTCTTTGTAGACCTTTCTGGTCCACATCTGATTTAATTCTCCTCATTGACTTCACTTCATCTGCAAACAGGACACTTCTGAGTCTATCCCTTCTGTCACGTTATTCACATATACCAAGAATAGCACTGATCCCAGGACTGATCCCTGTGGGACCCCGCTTGTCACAGGCTCCCATTGTGATACCTCATCACAGACCATGACTCTGATCCATTGCAGTGCCCTTCCTGTTATATGTGCCTGATCCTCTAGCTTCTGTACTAATCTCCTGTGAGGAACTGTGTCGAAGGCCTTCTTGCGGTCCAAGAAAATGCAATCAACCCACCCCTCCCTCTCATGTCTTACTTCAGTTACCTTGTCATAAAACTCTAGTATGTTTGTGACACAGGATTTGCCTTCCATGAATCTGTGCTGGCTGTCGTTTATAACCTTGTTCCGCTCCAGGCGCTCCACCACTCTCCTCCTGATAATCTTCATGACTTTGCATACTATACATGTCAGTGACACTGGTCTATAGTTAAGTGCTTCATTTCTGTCTCCTTTCTTAAAGATGGGGACTACATTTGCCGTATCCCATACCTCAGGTAGTTGCCCAGTTTCAAGGGATGTGTTGAAGATTGTGGTTAGTTGCACACAGTGTGTCTGTTCCTTCTCTAAGGACCCACGGAGAGATGTTGTCCGGTCCCACCGCCTGAGTTGTATGTATTTCATCCAACACTTGTTGGTATGTCCCTTGTTGGTGTACCCCACTGTTTTGTCTTCCCAGTGTCCCTTCAGCCTCTACTGTAAATACTTGTGATGAATGGTTTTGAAAACCGACAAGTTGAAGATTGAGACACTTATGCAACACATGGGAATCTTTATTGAGGAAACGTTTTGCCACACAGTGGCTTCATCAGTCCAATACAAAGTAGAAAGGTGTAAGGAGAGGAGTTTGAGGTAATCAGTCCCTCAGCCTGGAGTCGACTCCAGGCTGAGGGACTGATTACCTCAAACTCCTCCTCTCCTTACACCTTTCTACTTCGTATTGGACTGATGAAGCCACTGTGTGGCGAAACATTTCCTCAATAAAGATTCCCATATGTTGCATAAGTGTCTCAATCTTCAACTGTAAATACTTCCTGAAATCTCATGTTGAGCTCCTCGCATACTTCTTGATCATTTCTTGTGAGCTCCCCACTTTTCCTCAACCTGATTACCTGGTCCTTGACTGTTGTCTTCCTCCTGATGTGGCTGTAAAGCAGTTTCAGGTCAGACTTGACTTTCGATGTTATGTTGTTTTCATACTGCCACTGGGCCTCCCTCCTTATCTGTGCATACTCATTTCTGGCTCATCGACTAATCTCTTTATTTTCCTGGGTCCTTTGCCTTCTGTACTTTTTTCACTCTCTAGCGCACTTAGCTGTTGCCTCCCTACACCTTCAGGTAAACCAAGGGCTCGTTCTGATCTTCCCATTATTTCTGTTACCCTTGGGAACAAACCTTTCCTCTGCCTCCTTGCATTTTGTTGTTACGTAGTCCATCATTTTGTTTACTGAATTTCCTACCAACTCTCTTTCCCACTGAAACTCCTGCAAGAAGGTCCTCATACCTGTGTAGTCCCCCCTTTTATAGTTTGGCTTTTCCCTTTCTACTCCTGTTACCCTCTCCACTTGTAGCTCTACAATGTATTCAAATCTCAGAACCACATGGTCACTAGTTCCAAGGGACCTTTCATATGTGATGTCCTCGATGTCTGAGCTACTCAGGGGGAACACAAGGTCCAGTCTTGCTGGTTCATCCTCCCCTCTCTCTCTGGTAGTGTCCCTAACATGTTGGTGCATGAGGTTTTCCAGTACCACATCCATCGTCTTGGCTCTCCATGTTTCGGGACCCCTATGTGGCTCCAGGTTTTCCCAATCAATCTCCCTGTAGTTGAAGTCGCCCATAACCAGTAACTTTGCTCTACTCGAATGAGCTCTTCTTGCCACCTCAGCTAGTGTGTCCACCATCGCTCTGTTGCACTCATCATATTCCTCTCTTGGCCTCCTGCAGATCTGTGGTGGGTTATACATCACTGCAATGACTACCTTATGTTCCCCTGACTGAATTGTACCTACTGTGTGTGTGTACTCACCTAATTGTAGTTGCTGGGGTCGATACTCGGCTCCTGGCCCTGCCTCTTCACTGAGTGCTACTAGGTCCTCTCTCTTACTGCTCCATGAGCTTTATCATACCTCGTCTTAAAGCTATGTATGGTTCCTGCATCCACTGCATCACTCGCCAGACTGTTCCACTTCTTGACCACTCTATAACTGAAGAAATGCTTCCTAACATCCCTGTGACTCATCTGAGTCTTCAACTTCCAAGAGTGACCCCTTGTTTCGGTGTGTGTGTGTGTGTGTGTGTGTGTGTGTGTGTGTGTGTGTGTGTGTGTGTGTGTGTGTGTGTGTGTGTGTGTGTGTGTGTGTGTACTCACCTAGTTGTACTCACCTAGTTGAGGTTGCAGGGGTCGAGTCCGAGCTCCTGGCACTGCCTCTTCACTGATTGCTACTAGGTCACTCTCCCTGAATCGTGAGCTTTATCATACCTCTGCTTACAGCTATGTATGGAT